CTTCTATATCCTCAGAGACGATCTCCCTGTTTGTGATCAGGTAGCCCTGGGAGGTGACAAAGAGACAGAACTGACATCTCCTGGCCGGAGCTGGAACAACAGCCTGCTCCCCAGTTTCATGGCTGCAGCACGAAGGTGGCTGTGCCGTCCCATTACCTGCCCATCAATCATGTAGGAGATCATCATGATCTGGTCCGTCTCCGCATCAGGAAACTTCAAGGGGAGTTTGGTGGTTTCGATGTCGAAGGCGAGGACAACGGGATCCTGAGTAAGGCCAAACACATGAAAACAGATTCTAAAGCTGAATGGGAGGTGATTCCCATCAGGCTTTCCAAACCCAGTGTTGGTGCAGTGGGTGAACCAGCTCCTCTCGGTAACCACGTACCCAACTCAGCAGCACTACCCAAACCCAGAGCCAAAACCTGCCCCATGAACAGCACGGTGTGACACCATCTGCATGATGGGAACGACTGCTGGAAGTCAGCTTCTAGGAGAACATCCATGTGCACAGAGTGCTGCCCTTTGCAGGTGCTCACCGGCCGCTCCACCAGGTCATCCCTGCGGGTGATCTCAGGGGGGAAGGTGCTGCCGCGGTAGCGTACGTTGTACCAGTGAGCCTGGGAACAGAGCGGTGGGCAGAGCCTTACTGCAAAGCTGCTCCCAGCAGTGCTGCTGCTTGTAGGCTAGGAACAGAGCTCTGCAGATTAAGCATAATTCAGGAGAAAGGCACGAACTGGGGCTCCACAGAATCACAGAATCACCCGGGTTGGAAGGGACCTCAAGGATCATGTAGTTCCAACCCCCTGCCCAGCAGGGCCACCAAACGTACACATTCAGATCAGGTTGCCCAGGACCCCGTCCAACCTGGCCTTGAACACGTCCAAGGACGGGGCATCCACAACCTCCCTGGGCAGCCCGTTCCAGGGCCCAACCACTCTCCTTGTAAAGAACTTCCCCCTAACATCCAACATCCTCCCTCAACTTGGATCCATTTCCCCTAGTCCTGCTGTTGTCAGCCCTTTTGAAGAGTTTACTCCCCTCCTGGGTGTAGGTTCCCTTCAGGTATTGATAGGCTGCAATGAGGTCGCCCCGCAGCCTTCTCTTCTCCAGGCTGAACAAGCACAACTCCCTCAGCCTGTCCTCATAGGGGAGGTGCTCCAGCCCCCTGATCATCTTAGTCGCCCTCCTCTGGACCCTTTCCAAGATCTCTATGTCTTTCTTGTACTGAGGGCTCCACACCTGGACACAGTACTCCAGGTGGGGCCTCACAAGTAGAGAGGGACAATCACCTCCCTGTCCCTGCTGACCACCCCTCTCCTGATGGAGCCCAGAATCCCATTTGCAAGCACTTCAACACTCCACATCAAGCACTTGACTTTTCTGTGCAATTGACTGAGGTGAGAGCACAGCAATGCAGGACCAAGAACAGCAGTGGGAAAGCACAGCATTTTCTCATCTCTTACCACATGGATCTTCAGGTCGATGGAGAGCCGCACGTGGTAGGGCACGTCATACTCCCGCATGTCCACAATGTTGTCCATTTGGTTGGTGACCTTTTTGGAGGCTCCTTCCTCCGCTGTAGTTAGGCTGCCTCCAGCCAGAGCACTGCAGGGAGCAGAGGAAAAAGGCAGCCTTTACAATCACAGAATCACCAAGGCTGGAAAAGACCCACAAGATCACTCAGTCCAACCGTCCACCCATCACCAACAGTTCTCACTGAACCACGTCCCTCAACACAACGCCCAAATGCTCCTTGAACACCTCCAGGGTCGGTGACTCCCCCACCTCCCTGGGCAGCCTTGTACATGAGAAGGTCAGTGCTCACCTTGCACACAGTAGCACTGACTGTACATGACTGTATGTGAAAGCAACAAGACAGCAACAACACCCAAAGAGCAGATGGTGGTTGGTAAAGAACAGAATGAGAAATGTTTCCATTTGATACAGTGACCACCCTGGAGGAAGATGGTCCTATGGCTGAGAGCATCCTTTCACTCCCCATCTGACATTCACTTTCTGTTATACTTATGTGTTACATCTGTGCAAAGGTATTGACAAAATCATACAGATATCAGTATAATGGGTTTGGATTCACAAAGTGTGGTAACAGGTCTAAAGATAATGGAGCAGCACAGGAGACACTCTGACCAGCAAACATACACCTTCCAGGTGAGCAGAGAATGCTATTTCCCTTGATATTTCTTCTTCCTATATGTTTCAATGGAAATCAGACATCAGGGACAGGAAAGCAAGGATTTTTTCATTTGGATTTGCTGGCAGACTTTAAAAACCTGTGGTGTTATCAAGCATGTTTCCAGTTTTATAAAGAGTTGCCCATTCTGGTAGGAAAAGGCTTTGTTTTGTTTTTCCTTTAGTCACAGCCTGTACTAAGGATGCTCTCGGTGCTCTGGGAGAAACTAGGCAATCGTTCCCCAGGGAACAAGGGACTCAAGAAGGCTGCAGGCAGGAACCACCACAAGACAGAGCATCCAAGGGGCTCTGGGGCCCTCTTGAGGCACAGCACTGAGCTGCATGAACCGTCCTGGAGCAATAAGAGGCACACACGGATTCAGTTCTCAGAATGGAAAATCCCTAAGAAACTCAACACCAAGGATCCACGGGAAGAACTCTCACCTTGACAGCATGGATGTGTACACGTCACTGGCGTGGTCACGCTCCCTGTTCTTCCTTACAGCAGGGAAGATCTCCTTCCTCACCTTCACCAACTCATCCACCGTGCTGAAGGACAGCTTGAGGTAGTGCCGTTTCAGCCCCACCAGGTGGTTGGGCTGCAAAGCAATGGGACCATCAGGGAGGGTGGTGAGATGGCTGTGACACGAGGCGCAGGGCCAACTGCAATGCCACACAACTTGAGCGTGTCACGGAAAGACTGTGTGCTTGTGGAGAGGAATGAAACGGCACAGCTGCCCAGGGAGTGGTGGGGTCACCATCCCTGGAGGTGATCCAGAACTTTGGAGATGGGGCACTGAGAGATGTGGGCAGTGGGCACGGTGGGATAGGTTGGGGCTGTACTCAGATATCTTAGAGGTCTTTTCCAACCTTAATGATTCCATAACCCTACATTATCACTGAACAATAAGTAACGTAATTCAGATGCAAACATGGGTAAGAAGCTGAAAGTGGAGCACACTGCTCCCCTTCAGGACACACAGGGGTGGGTGATGCTCATGTCCATCAGTGTTTACAAGGCATTTGGTCCACGTCCCAACAATGTGCTTAACTATTAGCCCTACAGCACTCCTCATCTCTTAAAGTCCTTTCCACCTGCATTACGCTGTCCTGTTCTTCCCAGCCCCTTTTTATTCACTATCTGACAGTGCAGAGGAATACAAACCAGATCCAAATCTTCCTTTGGGACAGTTTCCAGCTTCGCAATCTTCCCTTGGAACTTCTTAGCCAGGAAGGAGGACACCTCCCGCTCGCAGCCCTGCCGAGGAGCACAGCTCAGCCCTGCACCCCCACGGCCCACACAGCACAGCAAGGGCAGGGCTGGCTCTCACCTGCTGGGTGGCCACGTAGAAGTAGGGTCTGTATGGCAGAGCCACCTGGGGAAGAGCACACAAACACATACACTGTGATGGCCACCTGACCGGCACTGGTGGGGGAAACAGGGGGTGGTCGGCAGAGTGCAGGGAGCACCTTGAAGCGGCTGCCGTCCTCCTGGATGAAATAATAGTCCACAGCGCTCACCGCCCGCCGGTCCTCATCCAGCACCTCGGTCTGCAAGCAGGCACCACGTTTTCAGCTCCGCTGAAAGCACAGCTCGGTTGGCAGATCCCAGCCCCCCCCTCTGATCTCTCCCCCCCACCTCCCTACCCTCCCCACCCCCACCGCTCCGTACCGGGTGCATGTTGATGAGCCAGCCAGTCCGCTCGCAGGGCTCGGAGGGCCGCTCGAAGCCGAACAGCGCGTCCAGCCGGTCCGTGCGCTGCGACCGCTCCAGGCGCTTGAGGGCGGACAGCGCGGGGCCATCATCCCTGCGAAGAGTGGCACCGTCCAGCGCCCGCCCCCCCCGGGCTGCCCACTGCCCACTCCCCACCCCCCCCGGCTGCCCACCCCTCCCGGCTGCGCACCGTGTGCCCTCGGGGTCGCCGCCGCCGCCCCGCAGCACCATCCCCGCAGCCGCTGCAGAAGAGATTTCGCGCGCTGCGTTCAGGTCCCGCCAGTTACAGGCTCCGCCCCTCGGCGAAAGAACCAATCAGAGAACGTCGCAGCCCCTTCGTCCACACCTCCCGCCAATCCCGGGCGCACGGACCTGAAGCCCCGCCCCACACATGACGCGCACATCTCGGTCTCCAGGCCACACCGCCGAGTGGGCGATAATTAAGGCGCCTGCGCACAGGTGGCTGTCCCCCGGAAGTGACAACTGCAGACCCCCGGAAGTGGATGCGCAAGTTGCCGGAAGTGGTAGGGGAGGCTCCCGGAAGTGACAGTCCCGGCGGGGTCTGGCAGCACGGACGTCGTCGGGTTGGTGACTCCGTTCCTCCCGGGCTGTGTGCGCGGCTATGGGTTTCCCTTTCCGGAGCCTAATGTGTAGCGTAGCTTTCGGGCAGCGCAGTGCCTGTATGTGGCGGCGTTGAAAGCGGAGCTGCACGGTGCCCCCGCCCCGCCACGTCCTGCAGCTGCTCCGCTCCTGTGCTTGCAGCGCAACCCCCCTGCGCACCCGGTCTGCGGAGATGCACGCCCTCGGCTGCCCAGCTGCCTGCCCTCCCTGTGCAGCCCCTCAGCTCCCTGCACACCACCTGGAGAGGGGATCTGAGCAATGCTTATTGATATCTAAAGGGTGAGGGTCAAGTGGATGGGGCCAGGCTATATTTGTAGGTGCCTACTGACAGGACAAGGGGCAGCGGGCACAAACTGGAACACATGAAGTTCCATAAATTGAATCTCACGGAAGGTACTGAAGGTGGCCCTCTACAAGTGCAGGATTCTATAGGAGCGTACACTGAGAAATGTTGAAGGAAAAGACACAGACACACTATGAGGAATATTGTGTAATAAAAAAATTAGTTACAAACACTGATCAGGTTGATGGTTGGACTTCACAGAATCATAGAATCGCTCACTGCGGTTGACAGAGCAGTGGAACAAGTTGCCCAGAGAGGCTGTAAAGTCTCCTTCTCCAGGGATATTCAAACCCTGCCTGAACACTTTCCTGTGTAACATTCTGTAGGGAAGCTGCTCTAAGCGGTGTTGGACTGGGGGATTTCCAGAGGTTCCTTCCAACCCCTACAATTCTGCGACTCCGTGAGATTCCTGTTGTGAAGAGAGCTCCTCAACCAGCAGCTGCCTGGAGCATCTGGAGACCCTGCAGAGGCCCTGTGTTCTCAGAAGGCTTCACAACATGGGCACTGGATTAGGAACCAAGGTTTCTCTTTTCAGCAGCTTCTCAGTGGTGATCGACAGTCCTCTTGTAGTGAGCACATCAGGTAAGGGAAGCAGGCCTGGCAGTTGGTGGCTCAAAGGCTGAGGCATTGCTTTGTATCATGGATTTTGCATGGAAAGGTCAGGATTCACGCACAGACAAATCCCTCCTTTTGCCTGACTCTCCTGTCACTTCCTTAATCTGTCAATGTAGCCTTCTCCAGGTCTTCAACAAGGAATGGGTCTTTTGTCTGGAGGACCTGAAAGAGCTTCTCTTGGGCCTTGAGCCCTTTTTTCTCAACTAGTTCCAGCAGAAATTGATTCTTCTTTTGTTTTGTATTTTGAGCTTGTACCTCCTCTTCTTCTTCACTGTTGATTACATCTTCAACACTTAAATTTAGCAGAATGGAGGAGAGCTGCCCCATCCTGGAACAAAGCTCTGTCTTGTGCTTCTTCAGGAAGGCTGCACCTAGCAGATACCAAAGCGTGTGTTACTGTGCTGCACGTGACCAGGCAGGTTGGTTCCTGCTGTGGTACTCTGCATCCTAGCCAACACACGCGAGGGCCGTTTGCTCTGTCCCACAGCCACGTGCTCCCATTCCCTGCAGTGCACCAGCAGTGCTGCTCTCTGGCCAGGAGGCTGAGCCACCAGAAGAAAGCTCCCTCATCAGCGGTGGAGGCATTGGAGCCAAGGCAAGGACAGGGCCTGAGCTGAGGGAGGTCAGGTTGGTGACAGCCCAGGGACAGTCCCTTCCAGTGATCCTACGGTATTTGAAGGAAGAGGGAAGCACTGGCTCTGTGATAAGGTATGAGATGCTCCAACTCCACCAGATTTTGAAAGTCCCATGAAATATTTCTGGGCTGTGAACTGTATTAGCTATAGCTCATTCTCTATAGAAAGAGTATGTCTGATCACAGAGAAAGCAAAACAGTTTGGAGAGTCCTCAACACTATGCCAGGTTAGAGAGCAAGCAGCCAGCAGTGAGGGAATAAAGGTTTAAAGTTTTTTTGTCACGAAAGAGTCACAAGTATGGGAAAAAGGTGGTTTAAGCCTTTTAAAAGGCTTTAAGTCTGCTTTAAGCCAGAAGATTGAAATCCCCAAATAAATATTCAGACTCAATAACTGTAGCTCTGAAAACCCGTACTGACCTGAAAGCTTTTTGGATTTGTTTCTAGAATGACTAATATCACCTGAAAGAGAAAGGAAGGAGCTTATGAAATACACCATCACAGAAATGGAGACCGTTTCTAGAAGCCTTACTGAGATACCTGATGTTCCATGGACCCATTAGCCATTAATTCCTGCTTACAGAATTCCTTGCCCATCTGTTAAGAACTCAACTAAGCAGGGTGCAGTGGTGTGAACATTTGCAGGTGTTTGTTTAGGGGTGCAGAATTAGCCTAACAGGGAATCCCAAGGCACAATTCCATGCCCTGCACTCAGAGTATCTGAGCTTCTCTTTTTGCTGTCACAAGAAGTGCAGCTCAGTGCGCCATCATCTCAATTCCCCTTAAAGATGGACCTGATCCTACCTGACCTCAGCGATGCCCTCCAGACCTCGGTGTCATTCTGTCCATCTGTGATAAAGAATTCCACTTCCTTTGCCATTTTCCTGATGTAGATCTCAACAAAGAGCTGTTGGTCCTCTGGACTCTTGTAGCAAAATGGCAAGTGTGGCTGTAGAGATAAGATGGAAGTTAGGTCTTACCCTGTGGAGCTGTGAATTTACAAACATCATCTCATGTTTCCAGGCCACACAGAAACGAAGAAAAAAGTGTGAGAGGCATGGAACTCTGGAGTGTCTCATTTGTTGTCTTTCACAGAAGGACTGTGTTGCCAACTCTAGATGGGCTCAGCGTTGGTTTGGTCAAGCAGAATACTGAAAGCCTTAAAGAGCAGAGATTTTACCACCATTTTATGTTCTCTGAGTGTTGCACCTCCACTGCAGTTTGGAGAACATGACGTTCAAGCAGCGGAAGAGGGACAGGGTTTGTTTGTCTCGGAGAAGAAACGGAAAAAGGAGGAACTAATCACTGCTTTCTAAAGTGTAAAGGGGGATTAAAGAAAAGATGGAACCCCTTGGAAGTGTACAGTGATGAGATGAGGCAATGTGCAGAGGCTGAGACAAGTCTGCAATTCTGATTAGATAATGGGGAAAAGATTACTATGCTAAACTGGAGACCCAGAGAAGCTGTGGTATTTTCTGTTTCACTCAAAATTGTAATAATAAAAAAGGAAACTGTCCCACTTACTTCAGGTGTAATCTTCACTTGAGTGTTACTGGACACCTGGTATCTGTTGCCAAAGAACAGAGGGCTGAATGGAGGAGGCTTGGGAATAATCTTTGAGTTCCAGCTTGTCTCTTGTCTTTCAATGGCCTGTAAACATCAAGGATCACTTTTGAGTGTTGAAAAAAACAGCTGTGAGCTGGAGGTAGCTCTCACTGACCTTGGAAAATCAAGAAGAGAAGAGACCAACCTGTCAGAACAGAGCCCTGAACGTGCATTGAAGGCAGTGCTATCAGAGGGTAAGGGCTGCACACAACAGGAGAGCATCTGCTATGCAGCCACCTATTACTGTGCATGGCAGCAGCCACGTGTCTGACATGTGCTCTGCTCCACGTCGCAGAGCATCCTGTGCCATGTCTTTGCTCATGCTGGGATATGCTGTCCCAGCCAAAAACACAGAGAGACTCCTAGAGGCAGGAAACACCAGAACAAAACTGAGAGGGCTCTCTGTTTAACAAATCCATTTTCTGCAACTCCAGCCACCTTAGATGCCATCCCCTGAACTGGTCAAGCTCCCTCCACCTTACCTCCTTCACAGACCTGTCATCTGGGATCAGGTAGAGATGCAGGGTTGTATTTGCAGCAGAGAGCTGCTGGAAGATCAGCACTAAGGAGTGCATAGGGAGAGAAATGGCTGAACGTAACTTTCTCCAAACCACTCCAAGAAGAGAGAAGCTGGGATATTGCAGGACAGCAGAGAAGGCCATCACTTCTGTTGGTTGCTGTATGATCATCTTCTGGAATTCAAAATGGGCAATCGAGCACCCACTGATGTCTACCTCTGAAAGAGACAGCAAAGGCAACAAGGTTCTGCTTTGTCTTCCTTGCACCCTACCAGGTTACCTCTTTCTCTTTGAGGATTTATTAGAAAAAAGGAGACACAAACCAATACAAAATGACATGCTCTGCTTTAGAGGTGATGAATACTCTGGGATTTGCACGGTTCCAGCGGGGTGCTACTAGCATTTGGTAGTCTTCCTAAGGTCTCAGAAAACTGAAAATTTGAGGTAGCAACTTGGGACTGCTGCGGATCTGGGGCAGAACCTTGTGGGTCACCACAGCCACTGCGAGAAGAGGGGAGGAGAATGCAGTGGTGTGAGTGCAGAGCAGGTAGTGGGAAAGGGAGCACTGTGAAGGTTTAATAAAACATGAGAAAAGGATGGAGGATGGGAAAGCAAGGTGGAAGAATACAAGAGAGCACAGGCTACTTCTGAAGGGAGGAAAAAGTTGGCTGAGTCTGAAGGTTGTCCACATGAAGATGTTTTGATGAGCTTCTGTTCTGTGCCCACTTGTGTGAGCAGATCCTGAGGGTATCCCTACTGGAGGCTGAGGGAAAGCAGCCTGGGTGAACCCAGGTGCCTGAGCGGCAGGGGGCTGTGCCTGGAGCAGGACTCATGGCTCCGTACCTGACAGGCAGATGAAGTGGGGGAGATACACAGCTCGCACGGTTCCAGGCAGCGCCCAGATGTTGAAAAGAGGCCCAGCAGGCACCCACACATTCTGGTCAGCCTCTTTCAGATGCGTGCTCCAGGAGGCGTATCTGTACACGATGCTGGCTGCTGACTCCACCTCGAAGGCAAGGCCTGTCTCAGAGCACTGGAAGATGCCTGGTCCAGGGAGACAAGCTCTGCAAGTGGGAGAGAAGGCAGGCTCGCACCATGTGTGATGAGGGCTTTTGGAAAGTGTTCCCACTTCTCCTAGGAGCTCTTACTTGTATACGTTCTGTTCCTCCAAAATGTATGGATATATCTCCGGCCTCAGTTCTTGAAATTCCTGCAACAAAAGAGCGACCGATTTGGAGCTGAATGGGGTGTTGTGCATTGGATGCTGCTTGCAGGAGGCGTGCTGAGCGCTGCAGTGAAGCACAGTGCATGCTGGCACAGGAAGGTCTTATGAACAGTTATGCACGCTGGCATGGGGAAAGTACCACTTAGTGCATGTGTCCCTGATACATCAGCAGGAAAGATAATAGTTAAACGTGCAGCGCAATTCCTGCAGCCCCATTCTAGAAGTTTCACACACTGATTTTGGGGATTTATTTTGGGCATGGAAATTCTACATAGTAAAGTTTATGTTTCCTGGGAGAGAAATTATTGGCTGCCGACTTGCTTCAGCAAAGAGAAAACAGTGAACACAGACAGATGAAAGGTTTAGGGGAAATGTTTAGATGAAATTTGGGATGTAAGTGTGTGGAAAAGAGCCTTTCCACTAATGTAAAACAGATCAATGCATGCTGAGTTAGTGCAGCAAGGATAATGGACTCTTCTGGAGTGCAAAGAATTGCTGTGAACAACAGGTCCTGAAGGTACAGGTGGGAGCTGAGGTCTGCCTGCTGTGCCCTGTGACAACCAGTAAGGCCAGTGCAGAGCAGAGCTGTAGGCAAGGACCCTTACCTGCCTCACACAGAGACAGCTTCTCTCCTCTGCTGGGACATCTGACTGTGGCCATTTCTGGATTCCCTGGAAAAGAGGAACACAGGAAGAGCACTCCCAAGCCATATTTTTCCACTGAGATGTGCTTGCTTGCCAGGGGCATAGAATCATAGAATCATATAATTGCTGAGGTTGGAAAAGATCTTAAAGATCATCAAGTCCAACTGCAACTGAACCGTACTACCCTAACGCTAACAACCCTCTGCTTAATTATGTCCCTGAGCACCACATCCAAATGTTTTTTAAACTCATTCAGGAATGGTGACTCAACCACCTCCCTCAGGAGCCTATTCTAGTGCATAACAACACTTTCTGTAAAGAAGTTTTTCCTGATATACAACCTAAACTTCCCCTGGTACAACATGAGGCCATTTCCCCTCTTCCTGTCACTTGTCACCAGTGAGAAGAGACCAACCCTTGCTTTAATCACCTTTCAGATATTGGAAGAGTCTCCCCTCAGCCTCCTCTTCCTGAGACTGAACAGCCCCATTTTCTTCAGTCTCTCCTTGTAGGACATGTTCTCAAAGCCCTTCACAAGCCTTACTGCCCTTCTCTGGACCTGCTCAATGTCCTTTTTGTATTGAGGTGCCCAAAACTGAACACAGTACTAGAAGTGAGGCTTCACCAATTTTGAGTACAGGGGCAGGATTACTTCCCTAGTCCTGCTCACCACATCATTCTTGATCCAAGCCAGGATGCCACTGGCCTTATTGGCAACCTGAGCACAGTGCTGACTTATATTCAGCCAACTGTCCATCAGTACACCAAGGTCCCTTTCTGTCAGGCAGCTTTCCAGCCACTCCTCCCCAAGCCTGTAGGGTTGCCTGGGGTTATTGTGACCAAAATGCAGGACCCAACACTTGGCCCTATCGAAACTCATACAGTTTACCTTGGCCCATCAATCAAGTCTATCCAGATCCTTCTGTACTGCCTTTCTCCCCTCTGGCAGATCAGCACTCCCTCCCAACTTACTGATGGTGTACTCAATCCCCTCATCAAGATCGTTAATAAAGATGTTAAATAGAAGCAGTGCCAGTACCAAGCCCTGGGGGACACTGCTTGTGACTGGCCACCAACTGGATTTAAGTCCATTGACCACAACTCTTTGGGCCCCGCCATCCAGCCAGAGTGAACACCCATCCAAACTGTGAGCAGCCAGCTTCTCCATGAGAATGCTGTAGGGGACAGTGTCAAAGGCTTTACTGAAGTCCAGGTAGACCACACTGACAGCCTTACATTCATCCACTAAGCGGGTCAGCTTGTCATAGAATGAAAACAGGTTTGTCAAACTGGATCTACCATTTGTAAACCCATGCTGACTGGACCTGATTCCCTGGTTGACCTTTAACTGGTCCATAATGGCTCCCAAGATTATCCATTCCATAACCTTCCCCAGCACCGAGGTGAGACTGATAGGTCTGAAACTGCCAGGATCATCTTTCTGGCCCTTTCTGAAAATGGACGTCACATTTGTTAGTCTCCAGTCTGCTGGGACATTTCCAGTTAGCCAGGACTACCAAAGGATGGAGAGTGGCTTGGCAACCACATCCACCAACTGCTTCAGCACTGCAGGGTGCATTCCATCTAGCCACATGGACTTGTAAGCATCCAGCTTTTAGAGCAGGTCCAAAACCATCTCATTGTGGATTATGTAGGGCCTATTCTGTTCCCCATCTCCATCTACCAGTGCAAGGAGCTGTGTGCACAGGGAGTAACAAGTCTTACTATTAAACACTGAGGCAAAGAAGCCATGAGGAGAGGCCTCCTGGATGCACCACAGGCCAGCCCAGCAGCAGCATAGGTCCCTGTAGAGATGGCTGTGGGTTAAAGGTGCCCAGCCCTACCTGGGGGCCAGCCCTGTCACATTCCTCCCTCTGTCCCAGGCCTCAGGCACCCCACCAGACCTTACTTCTGCACCTGTTGAGGTGATGCCTGACAGACTGGTCTTCATTTCTATAATCGAAGAGACACCTGCTGAACCACTCTGCGCTTCTATCCTTGAGGCAATTCCAGGTAAACCACCCTGTTGTTGCACCTCTGGTTCTTGATCACCTGTGGCTGGAACAAGAAGATGGTCATTGTCTCTACAGCTCACTGCAATCACCTGAAAGGAGGATGCGCTGAGGACAGTGTTGGTCTCTTTCCTTGGGTGACACGTGATAGGATGTGAGGTGGCACTGGGGAAGTTCAGGCTGGATGTCAGGAAGAATTTGTTCCCAGAATGGGTGGCCAGGCATTGGGAGAGGCTGCCCCAGGGAGGTGGTGGAGTCACAGTCCGTGGACAAAGTTTAAAGGTGGATTGGTAGTGTTAGGTGGATGATTGGACTTGATCAAATGGGGCTTTTCCAACCCAATTGCAGCCATCCTACCTTCACCCAGTCTTCCCTATCCCATTGGCTGCACAGTCCCCTGGTGCACCACCGCATGCTCCCAGATTTACCACAGCTTCCATGCATGAAGTGGACACTCACTCACCACTCATGCAGATCCCCTCCCTCCATAAAAGTGTCAGTAAGGACTGTGATCTTACCTGAGACATCTTCCTTGCCCTCTAAGGGAGCTGAACCACCACCTCGCACTGCAACAGCAACACAGAGCAGAGGAGAGCTCAGGAGCTTGGTCACATCAGGGGAAGCATTGCCCCACATCCATTTTCCTTTCTTCCCTCCCAGGACACAGGACTCCATGCCTGATGGTCCTCTTGCCCCTTTCCCTTGGCAGCCAGAGGCCAGCCTGCTCCCATGCCACTCCTCACCTCTGGCCTGGTACTTACACCTAAGAACGTGGTGTACAATGCTGTTGGAGGTGATGTTGTAATGTCTGAGAGTTAGTTCGTCATTCAACTGCCAGCCACCATGAATCAGTCGTGCCTGAGAAGGGTAGAAATAGCTATCCAGTGCAAATAGCTTCATCTTTAGGTCCAGCACCGTGTCGTCCAAAGAGACTGGCACAGAAACAATATTTCCTAACAAAGACTTCACACAGATGGAGAAAGTGGAGCTGAGCGTGGTGGAGCTGAGCGTGGTCTCTGCCATCTTTGCTTTGTCTCTTTCAGCCATCTGAATCACGGTGATGTCTGTGTGTGAGGGAACACAACAGTGTCGGGGCCACAGACGGCCATCCAGGAACAGGCAGCTGCCCACAGTACTTCCTCTTTTATCACATCCCTAGAAAGCGAAAGTACAGAGAGATTTCAGAGAAAAAATGCTTGTCATCACTCCCTCCTCTGGCCTCTGAGTGTCAGGGCAGGGAGATGGGGAGCCAGGGAATGCAGAGGAACAATGAAGCAGGGAAGCAACGCTTCTTCCCGAGGGCACGGCTTGCATTAGAACTGGGGGCTGCAGGCAGAGCAGTTCCACAGGGTTTGTCCTCTCCTGCTGAGCAGAGAGCATCTCACCTTCAAAAAGGGCTCAGTCGCATCAAGGAGAGCTGTCCCATGGCCGGCAGCCAGTCAGGAGATGGGCCTCCCCTTCTTGAGCGTTTCCATTGGGGGTGGAAATTCAGCCCAGGACCATGAGACGTGTAAGCAATGCCCCACGAGAGGGCAGTCGACATCCTACACAGTATCAAGGTTGTGTAATCAGTGCGAAAGGCAGTGGTAACCCAGCACAATCTGCATCGAGGGGAGAAAAAACTTTTCTCTGCACTCAAGGTGGTCTCAAAAATCACAGCACGAAAACAATGTCTGTGTGGGGCATGTGCTAAGAAAAGGCACACAGAGATGCTGACACCTCCAAACGGGGTATGAAGGATAAGGAAAGCAGTTCAGTGCGGAAAATAGAAAGCATGCCTGGCAGGCAGCAGGGGGAACAGATCCCTGTCTTCAAAACAAAAGAAAAAACGGTGAATGCAGAAAGATGATGTAAAATAAGGGATATGGGAGTGAATGGGAGTGGCTATTTCCAAGGAGGAGGAATAGTTCTGCCCGGGCAGCAGATGGTGATCCCCCCACCTTGTTTTACAGCAGTGGACCAAAAATCGAGCTCCAAGGAGCGGTGGACATCTGCCCCGAGCACTCCAGCCATACGGCAGCGCGTGGCTGTGCTGCCTGCACCGCAACCTCAGGCTGCTGAGCCCGGAGGAGCTCGTAAGAGCTGGGTGAAAAAGCAGAGATCTTGTTGGTGACAGTGGCCTCCTGACTGCGGAACCACAGAACCGTGGAACCACGGAACCACGGCGCGAACTGCTGGTCCTCACGCAGCACCTCGCTCTGCAGTCGCGCACGGCGTTCTCAGCTCCGCTCCTGGCCCCGCCCGGTTGATTGAGCACCAATCAGAATGCGCCTCGGCCTCATCGCCCACACCTGCCGCCAATCACGGGCGGACGGTCCTGCAAGCCCCGCCTCACACGTGACGCCCACTTACGGCTCCAGGCCGCGGCCCCGACCGGGCGGCAAATTGATCCGCCAGCGCACAGGTGGCGCTGTCCCACCGAAGTGGATGCGGACGCTCCCGGAAGTTATAGGGCGGCTGAAGGATGCGATAGAGGCGGCTCCCGGAAGTGGCGGCCCCGGCTGTGTCGGGCGGCGCTGACTCTCTCGTGTTGGCAGTGCGTTCCTCCGGGCTGCGTGCACGGCTTCAGGTTTCCCTTTACGGAGCTTGATGTGCAGCGGAGCGTTCGGGCAGCGCGGTGCCCGTATGTGGCGGCGTTGAGAGCACGGCTACTCGGTGCCCGCGTCCCGCCTGGCCCAGCAGCTGCTAATCTGCTGTGCTCGTGAGGCCTCCAGCTGGTGGTGGAAAGCTGGGGATCCTGCGGCTGTTCAGCCTGCAGGAGAGAGGCTGACAGGGGATCTGAGCAATGGTTATCGGTATCTGAAGGGTGAGGGTCAGGTGTAAGGTGGCGCTCTACAAGTGCAGAATGCTTCTGAGGGCGTACACTGAGAAACATTGAAGGAAAAGACACAGTATAAGAAATGTAATAAAAAAACTAGCTGAAAACATGGTCGGGTTGATGGATGGACTTTATGATTTTATTTCATAAAGAAAAACGATACTATGAGAGTGACAGAGCAGTGGAACAAGTTGCCCAGAGAGGCTGTAAAGTCTCCTTCTCCAGGGATATTCAAACCCTGCCTGAACACTTTCCTGTGTAACATTCTGTACAGAAGCTGCTCTAAGCGGTGTTGGGCTGGGGGATTTCCAGAGGTTCCTTCCAACCCCTACAATTCTGCGACTCCGTGAGGTTCCTGTTGTGAAGAGAGCTCCTCAACCAGCAGCTGCCTGGAGCATCTGGAGACCCTGCAGAGGCCCTGTGTTCTCAGAAGGCGGATGGCTTCACAACATGGGCACTGGATTAGGAACCAAGGTTTCTCGTTCCAGCAGCTTCTCAGTGGTGATCGACAGTCCTCTTGTAGTGAGCACATCAGGTAAGGGAAGCAGGCCTGGCAGTTGGTGGCTCAGAAGCCTGAGGCATTGCTTTGTATCATGGATTTTGCATGGAAAGGTCAGGATTCACGCACAGACAAATCCCTCCTTTTGCCTGACTCTCCTGTCACTTCCTTAATCTGCCAATCGGAGCAAAAGCCATCTGCTTTCCCAGTCTTAGTTGTTCTCCAGGTCTTCAACAAGGAATGGGTCTTTTGTCTGGAGGATCTGAAAGAGCGTCTCTTGGGCCTTGAGCCCTTTTTTCTCAACTAGGTCCAGCAGAAATTGATTCTTCTTTTGTTTTGTATTTTGAGCTTGTACCTCCTCTTCTTCTTCACTGTTGATTACATCTTCAACACTTAAATTTAGCAGAATGGAGGAGAGCTGCCCCATCCTGGAACAAAGCTCTGTCTTGTGCTTCTTCAGGAAGGCTGCACCTAGCAGATACCAAAGCGTGTGTTACTGTGCTGCACGTGACAAGGCAGGTTGGTTCCTGCTGTGGTACTCTGCATCCTAGCCAACACACGCGAGGGCCGTTTGCTCTGTCCCACAGCCACGTGCTCCCATTCCCTGCAGTGCACCAGCAGTGCTGCTCTCTGGCCAGGAGGCTGAGCCACCAGAAGAAAGCTCCCTCATCAGCGGTGGAAGCATTGGAGCCAAGGCAAAGACAGGGCCTGAGCTGAGGGAGGTCAGGTTGGTGACAGCCCAGGGACCGTCCCTTCCAGTGATCCTACGATATTGAAGGAAGAGGGAAGCACTGGCTCTGTGATAAGATGCTCCAACTCCACCAGACTTTGAAAGTCCCATGAAATATTTCTGGGCTGTGAACTGTACTAGCTGTAGCTCATTCTCTATAGAAAGAGTATGTCTGATCACAGAGAAAGCAAAACAGTTTGGAGAGTCCTCAACACTATGCCAGGTTAGAGAGCATGCAGGCAGCAGTGAAATAATAAAAGCTTTACAAGTTTTTTTTGTCATGAAAGAGTCACAGGTATGGGAAAAAGGTGGTTTAAGCCTTTTAAAAGGCTTTAAGTCTGCTTTAAGCCAGACGATTGAAATCCCCAAATAAATATTCAGACTCAATAACTGTAGCTCTGAAAACCCGTACTGACCTGAAAGCTTTTTGGATTTGTTTCTAGAATGACTAATATCACCTGAAAGAGAAAGGAGGGAGCTTATGAAATACACCGTCACAGAAATGGAGACTCTTTCTAGAAGCCTTACTGAGATACCTGATGTTCCATGGACCCATTAGCCATTAATTCCTGCTTACAGTATTCCTTGCCCATCTGTTAAGAACTCAGCTAAGCAGGGTGCAGTGTTGTGAACATTTGCAGGTGTTTGTTTAGGGGTGCAGAATTAGCCTAACAGGGAATCCCACGGCACAATTCCATGCCCTGCACTCAGAGTATCTGAGCTTCTCTTTTTGCTGTCACAAGAAGTGCAGCTCAGTGTGCCATCATCTCAGTTCCCCTTACAGGTGGATCTGATCCTACCTGACCTCAGCGATGCCCTCCAGACCTCGGTGTCATTCTGTCCATCTGTAATAAAGAATTCCACTTCCTCAGCCATTTTCCTGATGTAGATCTCAACAAAGAGCTGTTGTTTCTTTGAACTCCTTCGGCAGAATGTCAAGTGTGGCTGTAAAGATAAGAAGGAAGTTGGGTTTTACCAAGTGGAGCTGTGAATTTACAAACATATTCCCATGTTTCTTGCCCACACAGAAACGAAGAAAAAAGTGTGAGAGGCATGGAACTCTGGAGTGTCTCATTTGTTGTCTTTCACAGAAGGACTGTGTTGCCAACTCTAGATGGGCTCAGCATTGGTTTGGTCGAGCAGAATACTGAAAGCCTTAAAGAGCAGAGATTTTACCACCATTTTATGTTCTCTGAGCGTTGCATCACCACTGCAGTTTGGAGAACATGACGTTCAAGCAATGGCAGAGGGACAAGATTTTTTTTTTCCTGGAGAAGAAAGGGCAAAGAAAAGAACTAATCATTGTTTTCAGTAGTGTAAAGAAAAGGTAGAGTCTCTTGGAACTGTACAGTGATGAGATGAGGTAATGTGCAGAGGCTGAGACAAGTCTGAAATTCTGATTAGATAATAGGTTAAAGATGACTATGCAGAACTGGAGGCCCAGAGAAGCTGTGGAACTTTCTGTTTAACTCAAAACCAAAATAATTTAAAAAAGGAAACTGCCCCACTTACTTCAGGTGTAATCTTCACTTCAGTGTTACTGGACACCTGGTATCGGTGGCCAAAAAACAGGGGATGGAATGGAGGAGGCTTGGGAATAAGCTTTGAGTTCCAGCTTGTCTCTTGTCTTTCAATGGCCTGTAAACATCAAGGATCACTTTTGAGTGTTGGAAAAAACAGCTGTGAGCTGGAGGTAGCTCTCACTGACCTTGGAAAATCAAGAAGAGAAGAGACCAACCTGTCAGAACAGAGCCCTGAACGTGCATTGAAGGCAGTGCTGTCAGAGGGTAAGGGCTGCACACAACAGGAGAGCATCTGCTATGCAGCCACCTATTACTGTGCATGGCAGCAGCCACATGTCTGACATGTGCTCTGCTCCACATTGCAGAGCATCCTGTGCCATGTCTTTGCTCATGCTGGGATATGCTGTCCCAGCCAAAAACACAGAGACATTCCTGAGAGAGCTCTCTGCTTAACAAACCCATTCCCTGAAACTGCAGCCACCCCAAATGCCATCCCCTGAACTGGTCAAGCTCCTTCCACCTTACCTTCTTCACAGAGCTGTCATCTGGGATCAGGTAGAGATGCAGGGTTGTATTTGCAGCAGAGAGCTGCTGGAAGATCAGCACTAAGGAGTGCACAGGGAGAGACATGGCTGAACGTAACTTTCTCCAAACCACTCCAAGAAGAGAGAAGCTGGGATATTGCAGGACAGCAGAGAAGGCCATCACTTCTGTTGGTTGCTGTATGGTCATCTTCTGGAATTCAAAATGGGCAATCGAGCACCCACTGATGTCTACCTCTGAAAGAGACAGCAAAGGCAACAAGGTTCTGCTTTGTCTTCCTTGCACCCTACCAGGTTACCTCTTTCTCTTTGAGGATTTATTAGAAAAAAGGAGACACAAACCAATGCAAAATGACATGCTCTGCTTTAGAGGTGATGAATACTCTGGGATTTACACGGTTCCTGTGCGTGGCTTGGTATTACAGTTCTTTGATTGCCCACCTTTGGGCTCAGAAAACTGAAAATTTGAGGTAGCAGCTTGGGACTGCTGCGGATCTGGGGCAGAACCTTGTGGGTCACCACAGCCACTGTGAGAAGAGGGGAGGGGAATGCAGTGGTGTGAGTGCAGAGCAGGTGGTGGGAAAGGGAGCACTGTGAAGTTTCAATATAACGTTAAAAAAGCATGGAGGATGGCAAAGCAAGGTGGAAGAATACTAGAAAGCACAGGATACCTCTAAAGGGAGGAGAAAATTTGGATCAATCTTAATGGAGATCCTAAGAAGATGCTTTGGTAAGTTGCTGTTATGTGTGTGTTGTGTGTATAGGTCCTGGAAGTATCCCTGGCAGACAGGGATTGGAGGCTGAGGGAAAGCAGCCTGGGTGAACCCAGGTGCCTGAGCGGCAGGGGGCTGTGCCTGGAGCAGGTGCCATGGCTCCGTACCTGACAGGCAGATGAAGTGGGGGAGATACACAGCTCGCACGGTTCCAGGTAGCGCCCCAATGTTGAAAAGAGGCCCAGCAGGCACCCACACATTCTGGTCAGCCTCTTTCAGATGCGTGCTCCAGGAGGCGTATCTGTACACGATGCTGGCTGCTGACTCCACCTCGAAGGCAAGGCCTGTCTCAGAGCACTGGAAGATGCCTGGTCCAGGGAGACAAGCTCTGCAAGTGGGAGAGAAGGCAGGCTCGCACCATGTGTGATGAGGGCTTTTGGAAAGTGTTCCCACTTCTCCTAGGAGCTCTTACTTGTATGTGTTTTGTTCCTCCAAAATATGTGGATCTATCTTCGGCTTCACTTCTTGAAATTCCTGCAACACAAGTGCAACTGGTTTGGAGCTGAATGGGGTGTTGTGCAGTGGATGCCGCTTGCAGGAGGCGTGCTGAGCGCTGCAGTGAAGCACAGTGCAGGTTGGCCCATGAGCTGTGAACCACACAAGCAGCAGCAGGGTAATGATCAGCCCTGCCCAAGCAATGTTATTTTGGTATTTTTGTCCTGTGTCCAGAGCAGAGAACTAAAAAGAAGAAAGGATGATGAAGGACAGTCAGCATGAAAGCAGCAGGGGCCTGGTGCAAGTGAGGTGCCTGGTGGCCTGGTTGCAGAACCAGTTCTCGATGTGCAGGCTCTGTCACGTGGCCGAAGGTGTCCCAGCATGGTGCCTTCTCTCAGCTGCCTGTCACCAAGCAGCCCCAGACACCTTCTGCTCTTTCTCAGACACATGACATGGTGGGAAGTAGCTGTTCAGCAAAGGAACGCTCATGAAAGGTTCCCAGTGCTTTAATTTCCTGCTGTGGTTTTGTATCAGGCATATTGTGATTCTTTTACCTCTTCAGAACAAGAGGACTACAGACCATGCTGTGTGCTGTCCAGAAAACATCACTCATCACAGAAGAGGCCAGGAAAATGACTGGCAACCATCCTGTGATCTGAGGTAGGCATGGGACATTTTCGAGGCATGCAGGCTCAGTGAGGACCTGTTAGGCCGGTGCAGAGCAGAGCTGCAGGCAAGGACCCTTACCTGCCTCACACAGCGACAGCTTCTCTCCTCTGCTGGGACATCTGACTGTGGCCATTTCTGGATTTCCTGGAGAAGGGAACACAGGAAGAGCACTCCCAAGCCATAATTCTCCTCTCAGCCATGCTTGCTTGCCAGGGGTACGAGGAGAGGCCTCCTGGATGCAGCACAGGCCAGCCCTGCTGCAGGACACTGAGTGCCACAGATCCCAGTGGGGATGGCTGTGGGCTCATGGTGCAAAGTCTTGCCTGCTGTCCAGCCCTGTCACACTCCTCCCTCTGTCCCAGGTCTCAGGCATCCCACTGGACCTTACCATTGCTCTTGTTGAGGTGACGCTTGCCGGACTGCCCTGCCTTTTTATCTGTGAGGCAATACGTCCTGGACCGCGCTCCATTACTATTCTTGAGGTGATGCATGCCATAGGGCCCACATTATACGTCCTTGTATTGATGATTGTCAGAGGGCCCTGACTTTCTATCCTTGAGGAGATGCCTGCCTGAGGGCCCTGAAATTCTGCTCTTGGAATGACAACTGGCGGAATACTCTGATTTACTAGCCTTGAGGTGATGTCTGCTGGACTGCCCTGCAGTTCCATTTCTGGTTCTTGATCACCTGTGGCTGGAAAAAAAAGATGATCATTGTCTCACAACTCACTGCAATCACCTGAAAGGAGGATGCTGCTGAGGATAGTGTTGATCTCTTTGATTGGGTGACACGCATATGAGGTTGGAACTGGCTAAGTTCACGCTGGATGTCTGGAAGAATTTGTTCCCAGAACGGGTCTTTTCCAACCAAAATGAAGCCATCCTACCTTCACCCAGTCTTCCCTATCCCATTGGCTACACAGTCCCCTGGTGCACCACCAGATACTCCCAGGTTTATCACAACTTCCACAAATGAAGTGGACACACAGTCAACACCCATGCAGATCCCCTCCCTCCATAAAAGTGTCAGTAAGGACTGTGATCTTGCCTGAGACATCTTCCTTGCCCGTTAAGGGAGCTAAACCACCACCTCACATGGCACGAGCAACACAGAGCAGAGGAGAGCTCAGGAGCTTGGTCACATCAGGGGAAGCATTGCCCCACATCCATTTTCCTTTCTGCCCTCTCCTCCCAGTTCTTCCCTCCCAGGACACAGGACTCCATGCCTGATGGTCCTCTTGCCCCTTTCCCTTGGCAGCCAGAGGCCAGCCTGCTCCCATGCCACTCCCCTCCTCTGGCCTGGTACTTACACCTAAGAACGTGGTGTACAATGCTGTTGGAGGTGATGTTGTAATGTCTGAGAGTTAGTTCGTTCGATAACTCCTGGCCATCATGAATCAGTATTGACTCAGAAGGATTGAAATATCTATCCAATGCAAATAACTTCATCTTTAGGTCCAGCACCGTGTCATCCAAAGACAGCGGCACAAAAGTATATTTTCCTGACGAAGACTTCACACGGATGAAGAATGTGGAGCTTAGCGTGGTCTCTGCCATCATTGCTTTGCCACTTTCAGCCGCCTGAAACACGGTGATGTCTGTGGGTGAGAGGCATAAGACTCGGGGCTGCAGATGTTTGAACGGAAACAGGCAGCTGCCCACAGTACTTCCTCCTTTGTCACATCCCTAGAAAGTGAAAGTATGGAGTGATGTCAAGGGAACAAGGTGTGTCGTCACCTCCCCCTCTGGCCTCAGTGTGTCAGGGCAGGGAGATGAGAGGCAGGGGAGGCAGAGGGACAGGGAGGCAGTGCTTCTTCCCGAGGGCATGGTTTGCATAAGGATTCCTTCAGGTCCTTCCGTGTGCCACCATGGAGAGCCCAGGATCGTACCCCATACTGGCCTGATTTGCCCCAGTGTGCTTGGACAGAGATGGGGACACGTGTCTTGGCCCAGATCCATCCATGTCCCATGCTGGGGGCTGCAGGCAGAGCAGGTCCACAGGGTTTGTCCCCTCCTGCTGAGCAGAGAGCATCTCACCTTCAAAAAGGGCTCAGTCGCATCAAGGAGAGCTGTCCCATGGCCGGCAGCCAGTCAGGAGATGGGCCTCCCCTTCTTGAGCGTTTCCATTGGGGGTGGAAATTCAGCCCAGGACCATGAGACGTGTAAGCAATGCCCCACGAGAGGGCAGTCGACATCCTACACAGTATCAAGGTTGTGTAATCAGTGTGAAAGGCAGTGGTAACCCAGCACAATCTGCATCGAAGGGAGAAAAAACTTTTCCCTGCACTCAAGGTGGTCTCAAAAATCACAGCACGAAAACAATGTCTGTGTGGGGCATGTGCTAAGAAAAGGCACACAGAAATGCTGACACCTCCAAACGGGGTATGAAGGATAAGGAAAGCAGTTCAGTGCAGAAACTAGAAAGCATGCCTGGCAGGCAGCAGGGGGAACAGATCCCTGTCTTCAAAACAAAAGAAAAAACGGTGAATGCAGAAAGATGATGTAAAATAAGGGATATGGGAGTGAATGGGAGTGGCTATTTCCAAGGAGGAGGAATAGTTCTGCCCGGGCAGCAGATGGTGATCCCCCCACCTTGTTTTACAGCAGTGGACCAAAAATGGAGCTCCAAGGAGCGGTGGACATCTGCCCCGAGCACTCCAGCCATCCGGCAGCGCGTGGCTGTGCTGCCTGCACCGCAACCTCAGGCTGCTGAGCCCTGAGGAGCTCGTAAGAGCTGGGTGAAAAAGCAGAGATCTTGTTGGTGACAGCGGCCTCCTGACTGTGGAACCACAGAACCGTGGAACCACGGAACCATGGTGCCATGGAACCATGGAGCTATAGAATCTTAGAACCAGAGAATCCAAGCTGAAAGTGACCCACAGGGATCGTAGAATGGTTTGACTTGGAAGGGACCTTTAAAGGCCATCTGACCCATCTCCCCTGTGGTGAACAGGGACATCCACAGCTCCTCAGAGCCCTGTCCAGCCTGACTTCGAATGTCTCCAGGGATGGGGCATTTACCACATCTCTGGGCAATCTGTGCCAGTGTTTCGCTACCTTTATTGTCCTTCAAGTACCCAAAAGGGGCCTACAGGAAAGCTGAGGAGGGACTTTTTTTAAAGTGACAGGACAAAGAGAGATGATTCTAAAGTGAGAGTGGGATGATTTGGACTAGATATTAGGAAGAAATTCTTTACTGTGAGGGTGGTGAGACGTTGGAATAGGTTGCTCAGAGAAGCTGTGGATGCCCCCTCCCTGGAAGCACTCAAGGCTGGATGGGGCTGTGAGCAACCTGGTCCCTGGGAGGTGTCCCTGCCTACAGCACGGGGCTGGAACTGGATGATCTCAAAGGCCCCTTCCAACACAAACCATTCTGTGATTCTCTGATTATTAAAAAAAAAACATTTTTCTTTATATCCAGCCTTCTTCGTTTGAAACCATTTCCCCTTGTCCTGTCACAACAGACCCCGCTAAAGAGTCTATCGGAGTCCAGCTTCTGGCTCCCCATCAGGACCACCCAAACCCGATATCCGCGAGCGGTGCCCAAACGCTCCCTGCGCCTGCAGCCCACGGGCGCAATTCCGTGCCCGCCGCCCTGTGGAGCAGAACCTTTCCCTACTCCCCTATCGACCCTCCCCTGACGCAGCTCCGCGCAGTTCCCCGTCGCCGTCACCCGTTCCTGGGGACGGACGGACACCCGCACCCTCCCGCAGCTCCGCCGCCGGTGCATGCGCACTGCCCGCTCCGTGCCATGGTGCCCGGCAGAGCCGCTCCGTGCCGCTCCGCTCCGCTCGGTGCCCGCAGGTAGCGGAGCCCCGGCCCGCCCCGACCCGCCCCGACCCGCCCGGGGGCGGCCGCGCTCCCTCCTGCCGCCGCGATGCTGCGGTGCCGCGGTGCCGAGCCGGGAGCTGCCCAGGTAAGTGCGGGGCTGCGGCTCCGGGAGGAGCATCCCGCGGGGAGAACGGCGGGCTGCCGGTACCGCGCTGTCTCCAGGTCCCGGTACCGGCTTTGCGGGCGGTTCGGAACCGCAGTGAGCGCGCGGGGCTTGGTAGCACCGAGCAAACGGGCCGCGGTGCTGCGGGAGGAAAGCTGCGTTTCTCCGCGTTCCAACGGCAGAACGCTCAGCGTGCCCTGCAAGTTTGTTCGTCTCTATTCGGGGAGCGGAACCCCAGCCGGGCGCTCAGCCGCGGTGGGGCCGGCGAGGGGCGAGCGGTGCGGTCTGTGCACGCGGGTGTGATGTGCTGCTGGGTGAGCGAATGGGGAGAGCGGGGAGCCGTGCGGTCCCTCTGAAAGTGAACGTCACATTCCCAGAGCGATGTGTGAAAGCAGAAACGAGGAGGTGTTGTGCTTGGCTGTTAGGCTTGGAAAAAGCTCCCGTGATGAACTCCTGCACTGCTTCAGCAGGGATCACGCTTGTCCCTTGGGCAGTGGTGAAATGGTGATGGTGGCGAGGAGGACTTCCCTCTAAGACAGCACTGGAACCTCTTTTCATTGTGAAATACTTGGAGTTGTGCATCCAGCAGCCTGCACCTGGGTGGCTTTTCAGCGTTTTGCCATTTATGGGAGTACCTTTGAGATCTGGACCAAATCTCTCGTTTAATTATTAATGTCAGAACATTTTCCATCCAGCTTGCAGAGCACACGTTGGAGCGGTGGCGACGAGAGTGCTGCTGAATGAGCCTTTAACCTGGAGCCTCTAAACTGCTGAAGCAGCACAGTTGTGGCTAATTGCAGTCTGATATGGCTGCTGCACTTCTCCAGGAGCCAGTGGGGCCCATTTGTGGCAGCTTTGCAACTGGTGATGTGCAGCGGGACGGGGATCCCTCCCAGCTTGTGCACCAGGCTGTGCGTGGCGGTGTGATGGAGTCAGGTGCAGCATCCTGGAGATGGGATGGGACCAGTGGCACAAACTCGGGCATTTCCCTCCCCAGCTGAGCTGTAGGGCTGGTCTATGTGAGCCCATGCATCCTAGGTAGCATAGTTCCTGAAAGAAGTGCTTCCTGACATCCAGGATGGAGATCTGTCTGTTTTCACCCTCCAGTTGTGCTAGAAGCCCAGGTTTGACCCTCCCTAAAAATGCTGTCCTAGCTCTGCTCTGCAGGACTCTGTTGTCCTGGTGGCTCTTTCCAACCCTCGCGCTGTCCCCGGGTCAGGGCTTGGGCTGACAATACATCAGTGCACAGTGTGGGGTGCTGGGAGTGCCTCGGGACCCCTGAGGCTCTGTCCACACCTGGGCTGTGTTGGAGTCATGCATCCAGAGGAGAGTTCTGCTTTCCTTGGCAGCACAGCCTGTGTTATTCTGGAGATGGAGCCAAGAGACAGCCCTGAGACTTTTCAGCTCAGAGGAGTGTTAGCATTGCTACACCAGGCTGGGGGGGGGAGGTCTGTCAGAGTGGGGTGAGCACTGTGTGGCTCTGGCTCACAGGAGAGTGGATCCTCTGAAAAAGAAGAGAAATGGAGAGCTCCTGTGCAAGGACACCAGAACTCACTTGTGGAAAATGGTGCCTGGGTACGGATCATGGAGAGCAAAGGTCTGCTGGGGATGGAGGGCGGTGCGGTACGATGGAAGGGAGAAGTGGACACATTTAGGATGGAAATAGAAGGTTTGTGACTGTCAGGGGGGTGCTGTGTGGGGATGGTCCTTCTGCTGTCATGTACTGGATCTGGCTGGGTTGGAGCCCAGTGGTGTCCAGGACTCAGTGAGTAGGGGGCTGCCAGCAGGTGTGGGGGTGCTGAAGGGTCTGGGGGCTTTTGGCACTGAGCCTCAGGGTTCATTGGGCAGCCCAGCACCTGGCTCTGCTCTCAGACTGTGACATGAGAGGGATGTGCTCCTGCCTCCTCCATTGTCCCTCCATTCCCTGTTTGCAGCAGAAATGCTGCAGGTGCTCTGTGCCCTAGGACATGGCCAGTGGGATGGGAAGGGATGGGATGCAGCGGAGGTCACCACCATGGAGGGGTTTGTGCTCCGCTCTGTTTGCAGGGTGTGCCCATAACAGGTCTCCTGCTGGAGCTGCTCAGCAGTTCCCACTGTGCTCTGTGTGAAAGACAATATTGTGCACATACAGAGAGCTGGCAAGGAGGGAACTCTGCAGTAGATATAGAGAGCTTTGGGATCAAGGATTGTTTTTTTCCACAGCAGGGACCAGAGCCAGAGCCAGCTCTTTCCTGCAAGTGTGGATGGTGTCATCAGGTGCCCTGAGCTCTTGCTCAGGGCACAGCTTGCAAACCCAAATCTCTCTCTCTAGCATTGGCACTTGGTACTGTTTGCACTTTAGAGCAGACAGTTTTGGGACTGGGGGCAGATTCACCCTGGATTCCCAGCTGCAGAGATGGGACGGCAAACCTCACCTCTGGACTCGCTCCAGCAGGTCCTTCTTGTCCAGTTTTTCTTGTGCTGGGGGCCCTGAGCTGAATGCAGTTCTCTAGGTTGGGTCTCACAAGGGCAGACCAGAGGAGGACAATCACCTCCATCATCCTGCTGGCCATGCTTTTGCCATGCTTCTTTTGCCACAGCACAGGATGCAGTTGGCTTTCTGAGCTGCGAGAGCACATTGCTGGCTCACATTCAGCTTTTCATCAGCCAAACCACCGAGTTCTTCTCCACCTGTATGTGTGTTTGGGATTGCCCCAGCCCAGGTGCAGGACTTTGCCCATAGTCCCACTTCTTGAGCCCTCAGTGTAGATGTGTTGGCTGTAACCAATCACCTCGCTGTTTTCCGTGGGCCTCAGCATCGTTTTCCAGGAAGATCTGCTCCATCATCTTGGAGAAATGTGAAGCTGGAGTGAAACACTTCCAGCACTATCATGACTGCCTGGGTTGCCAGAGCAGTCCTCAGCTGAGGGTGACTTCTGGAAGGCTTTCTTGTATGGACATGTTGGAAGAAGGGCAGTATTGATAGACATCATGGACCTTCCAACAGTTCTGTTGTGGAAGACTGATGAAGATTGATGCTCTTCTCCCAGGCATGGAGCCTTCTCTTCAGACCATGCACTCTTCAGAGGCATCCACAAAGCAAGTCCTGAGAAGAACATGCTGAGATCTTTAAATACTGTGAGCCCCAAAACTATCTGCAGTAACTCGTAATACTTCTGAAGGGAGAAGTTCTTGAGTCAGAAATAGGGGTTTGTTTGCAAACAGTGGGACAGAAATGCAATGAAAAAGACAATCTTATTTTATGCAGAGGCAGTTAAAAAATAGCATCTCCTGTTGAGCTTGAAGCTCTAGGACATTCCCTGTGAATATCTGTGCTACAAATGATCGAGAGCCAGATAAACAAAACTGCCACAGGGAATAGTGCTTGAGAGATCAAGGGCACAGCTGGATTGCTGGTCCTGCAAAGCAGGGAATCACTGACCCGAAATGGCTCAGCCAGGCGAGGGGCTGTGCTCAGAGCCGTGGAGAGTGGCAAAGTACTCCAGAAGTGACAGAGCTGAGAGAAAAAGAAAGTCCTTGCCAGGCCCTGCATCTGACTGCGAGAGTGCGATGGTGCTGGTATCACTCTGAACGTCTCCACCTTCCATTTCTTAGGAGCTCTACGTCTGGTGGAAGAGGTGTGGATGGGGAGCTTGGGGCAGTCTCCGGCTGCCATGAGTGGATATCCGTGTTCTTTGTCATCCATTGGACCTCAGCCTTTTCTACTGATAAGCATCTGAGAGATCTGGTAGCCATAGGGACCTCCATGTGTTTGTGGGACTTCTCACCTCACCAAGGTCTGTTATTCAAAGCTTAGAGTAGGGTTATCTCACATTGCTCACAGGTGGGGAGATCATGAGATGACCTGACATCCAGAGACCTATTAACCAAAGCTCTTCCAGGATCCTGTGGCTCTCCAGTGGCACTCGGCTGTGGGGCTCCCAGATGGGAGGTTCAGCCTGTTGCTTGTGGGGCTGAAACGATGCTCACGATGCTTGCTGTGAACAGCTGTAGGATCCCAGCCATGGGGACGTCAGGCATCTATCAACCTCCCAGCCTCTGCCAAGGGTCAGCCCAGGCACAGCCTCTCCCCCCTAAGAGCCTGCGGGGACCATCAGTAGGGGAACTGTGCAGGGGATTGCTTCAGATTGCTGCCTTGAAGGCCCAAACAAAGCATTCACTTCATTCAAATGGCCAATACTCATGGGCAGGCACCAGCCAAACCCCTCAGAAACCAGCCAGACCGGCTGGAAAAGCGTCCTGCTTTCAACTGTGCGTTGGCATCTCTGCAGGGTTGGGAATCTTCTATTGCTTTACGGTAAATTATTGTCCTATATCACTGATATACAACAGTCTCAACTGCTGAGACTCTCTTTCTCTCTTATAAAACCATTTTCCATTTCTTCCTGTGAGTTTTGGCAAAGGTCCACATAGCAGCAAAGCAGATACTGCATGTGACTTTGCTGCTGTATTTTTCCCAAATCTTCTGCATCTCTGCGCCTCCTTCCTTGAGTGTTTGTTTCTTTTTTGCATTTGCTGTAGCATAAGTATTGGCAAGCTGCTCTCCTTGGATGCTCTCACCCTTGCCACTCAGTGACTTGGCTTTTCCTTGTTCCATTCCTTCTGCAAATGAGCTTGACTGGGAGCTCTGCACAAACGCAATGGCTCTTTAGGGACTGGATGTAGCTTTCATAACACACTCCTGGCTCATCCACGGGGACCTGCACAGGGTTGAGAGGTGGGCCCGTATGAACCTCACGTGTGCCCCATCCCCAGTGCTGCTCCAGGCCATGGATGGGCTTTGGGCAGCCTGGGCTGGTGGGGAGGGGGTTGTAAGGGCCCCTCCAACCCACCCGTGCTGTGATTCTATGAAACGGTTAATTCTAGCCTTCCCAAAGGCAGGGCTTCAGAAAGTTATTAAAGCCTGGAGATGAACCAAGCGACTCTGGTGATTTAAAACTTCAGAAGGATTTTTGTGCCCCACGCAGGTGCCGAAGGACGCCTGAGGCCTGGTGCCAGCAGGTGGCTGCCATGCGAGGCGCTGCCCGTCCCCTCGCTGCTCTGCACACCGTCCCTGCTGCGCGCCCGGCGCCGTGCTGCTCTGCTCGCCATGGGAGGATGCTTCTCCAAGCCCAAGCCAGGTGAGATGGAGGGATGAGGGGATGTAGGTCAGCGGCAGCTCCACGGGCACCGCTGGGGAATGTTAATTCTCCGCTCCTGCAGGGAGGATTACTGATTGCTAATCCCCTGAATTCCTGTGCTCTGCCTTCAACCAGAGTCCTGCAGGGCTGTGGGGCCATGTGGGGCACTGGAGGTTCTGGTGGAGGTTCTGGCATGTGCCCGGCCCTGATTCACTGCAGTGTGTCCAGAGGCTGCTGGGACATTGCATAACCAAGATGTTATAGTCACAATATAATTGTGTATAATCAATAGATATCAAGATGTTATAATTGCAATATAATCAAGAGAGTAAGGCAAAGCAGACAACGATCACAAAAAGAGAATAAGTGGAAGAGCTTACCCTTGGGTTGAGCTCACCAGAAGATACCAAAAGAGGGGATCTCCAGAAGAGATCCTTCCCCTCTGGTAGCCAGCTCTTAAATAGGTCCAGGCTCCACCCCTTCTGGCAGCACAGGTGAATTGCCTTCAGCTGTGCTCCTCTGGCTGACTCAAGGCTCACCTCAGGTGATCAATCAGAGGTTCAGGCCGTGACCCAGCAGTTCCCATACAGACATCTCCCATCTCTCCACACAAACTCCTGTAGAGCATCTTGGGGCCAGGTGGGCTCCTACTGTTGGGCAGCCTGAAGGATGTGAGGTGTTGGTGCGATATGGGACATGTCTGTGAGCCACCAAGCATCCCCAACCAGCAGTCCTGGCTTTGCAAGGCATGGGCATGCAGGTTCTTTGAGATACAAAGAGAAAGTTTGTGGTTTCTGCCATGTGTAGAGGTCATTTCCGTGGACACCGCAGTGCCCGAGGAACATGGCATTGCACACTGTGGTCGCGTTTCTGTCCTCCCACTCACTGTAAGTTTTCCTCTCCCGAAGAACCACTCTGTGGCCTTTCTTGTTAAAAAGGTAGAGCACATCCAGGAATAAATGCCTCCACTGAATAAACTTGCAACAAAGTCTGCTGGCAGCTCCGCTTTATTTTGTGTACCATCAGCAAAACTGTGTTTAATCTTGGGCTGATGCAGGAATAAAAGCGCTCTGCGGGCGCATTTCCTGAGCTGCATATTTTTGTGTCGAGCTGTATTTGCATAGCAGGGCAAGTGGCTGAGAATGCCACCCTGTAATGGAACACTCCTTCTGCAGCTCTGTTTCTGATTAGCAGGAAGGTTTTGACAGCGGTTCCCCTCGTTAGCACACACTGCAATGCTTTCACCCCAGTGCTTATAAAACCTCCAAGTGCACCGAGATAAACAGATACGCGTTTGCAGATGCTGATGGTGCTGGCAAACGTTTCACAAGCTTTGTGTGACGTTTGGTTTTCATGCTGGGCTCACATTTCTCCATGCCAGAAAGACCTTTTGATGGGCAGAAAACCAGAGCAGGAGACCCGCAGCAGCAAACAACTGATATAAATATCAGTGTTTAATTCAGAGCTTGTGTTCAAGTAGTGACGTAATCTCTTATCTCCAGTGCTGCAGTCGTGTGACCCCAGACACCATTCTGAAGCCTGGTTCTCAGCCTCTGCATAACTATTTTGGTGCTTGTGAGGGTATGGGAGCTGCGTGTCGAGGCTGTTCCTGTGCCTTACTGCCCTTGTCCTGGCTGCTGGGAGGTGGTAATGCCTGCAGAGGCAGGGGGGAACCAGGCACATTTATCTCCTGATTCTGTGATTAACTCTACCATTTTTAATGAGAACAATTTTGAGTTGCAGGCCAGTAAAATGAGAGGGCAGCAGCCAGGTGCCCACCATGTCCCACCACATCTCACCGTGTCTCACCACATCCCACCATATCCCACCTCATCTCACCGTGTTTTACCATATCCCACCGCATCCCCCCACATCCCACTGTGTCCCACCATGTCCACAACATCCCACTACATCCTCCCACGTTCCACCACATCCTACCAAAGCCCTTCACATCACACTGCATCCCACAGTATCCACCACATCCCAACATATTCCACGGCATCCATCTTGTCCACCACATCCACCACGTCCCACAATACAGTGAGTCAGTAATTGAGTGGAGTTTCACTTCTTATGTCTTTCCTTTGGCTCGGTATGGGAACACAGCACCCAGAACACTGCTTGGAACAACCCACTGCTGTGGGAGGAGAAAAGCAGATTTGTCCTGAATTGGGCAAGGAGCAGCTCTTGGCTCTGACCCCAGCAGAGAGGCTGGAGCATGTCCTGACCTCACTGATCTCCATCACTTCTCTCAACTCTGCTATCTCCTCTGCTGAGCAAAATGCCAATTTTCCTTCATCTCTCTGAATCTACTCATTGATTGTCTTTCCTCGACGTCTTTGGGTTGTGGGTTTTAATTTTTGTCTTCTGTACAGCTCTTCCTGTTTGTGACATTTACAAGATAGTGAAACACTCTCCCACATACCTTCTTTGTGTCTGGCAATTATGCCCAGCTCACTATAAAAGTCCCCTGGTGTTTATTATAAATATTAATGGCTTTAGTCTCATGAGGAGCCTAGGAGATAAAGAGATGCTTTATGCCTGCTTGACAAATGTGGACATGAAATGCATTTTTTAAACTCGCAGCTGTCACCTGGCATGATTGGTTTGAGATGTCAGAGCCTGGTTCTCAGGCACATGCTGTGACCATCTCCCTGTTCCATGGGGTTTGGTGGCACCTCAGTGATGCTCAGGGGCTCCAATGAGTTATGTCCAAGGAAAGGCCAAATGGCTGGTACCATGAATGGCCATGAATGACTGTGGACATTTGCATTTAGGTAAGCTGATTAGCTTCACACAGAAGCCCTGTGCTGCTACTCCCAGGAGCAGTCTCATTGCCCTGAGGTTGTCCTTTCTCATGGTGCAGTAGCTTCTTCATTCAGCACAACTTCTTGCACCAGCTTGGATGTGATCTGGGAGGTCTGGGATGGAGTCCAGGAGACCTGTGGTGGGATATGAGCGGCCTGGGTTGAGGTCTGGGAGGTCTAAATAGGGCGTGGGAGGTCTGAGATGGACTCTGAGAGGTCTGAGATGAGATCTGGCTCTCTGGACTTCCTATCCCAGTTCCCACCAAGGCCCAATCTCTCCTGGCCCCCAGTTCCACCACAGATGTCTCCCATCTCCTCTCATTAGCTCACTCTGGCCCTTGCATCCAATGTTCCCAGGAGAATCTTTGCAATTTGTGTTTCTTATCTCCTGAGGACCTTTAACATTCTTCAGGTCTCGCACGGCTCTCCTGGACCTCTCCACACCCCTGCATGGGTATGAGGGATTCTCATTGTGGAGAGCAGCTTTCTGGTCCCTTCTAGGAAGCCATCACTTGACTTTACGCTAACATTTATGGCTAAGAGGGCTTGTCTTGTCAAACCTGTTCAATAGTTTAAACTTAAATAAACCAGACAATTCTCGCTTTCGCTGAAGGTTCACTCCATGCTGAAAACCTCGTGCAGAAATAGTGTTGAGCATTTTTGATACTGGCTCCTTATTAATGCCATCTAATGAAGCAGTTTTATACACCATGCAGTGTCTGCTTAATGTTATCTACCAACAAACAAAGGATTTTTTTGAAGTTTCTTTGAGCCCTAGAGGCCTTAACTGCCTGAAGCTATTTTCCATTAAACAGGACAGGAAGAGTGACAGAGGCATTGCTTTGCACCAGTGACTAATGCCTACTTGCAAGAGTATTTACTTTATGCATGCAAAGGTGCACAGCTGAGAAAGAGCAGTGGAATAATGGAATTGGGTCATCAAGCCAGGTTTGATATCAGATGTTTTATCTTCCCGTGCAAGACGACAAAAAATGTCAATTCTGTTGACATCTGCCAGCCCCTTTTGATATCCAAGGGAGGAGGGAGAGGCGGAATGGCAGCAAAACTTCAGGCTTTGTTTTAATGAAGATTTCTGTTTGCTCCTGCAGTTGAAGTGAAAATCGAGGTTGTGATACCTGAGAAGGAGAGGAGCAAGGAGGAGATGTCACCCAACGGGAAAGCCAGCCCATTGGTTTACAAGGTCAATGGGACTGCCCGGCATTACCATCTCGAGGAGCATCCCATTGCCAGCAATCCCTACCACAACCCAAAGGATGTAGTGGAAGCATCTGTGTGCCACGTGAAGGACCTGGAGAATGGACAGTAAGTGCCTAAAATCTTCGTAGGTAATTTTAACCCAAAACCCAAAAGAGAGCTTAGAGCCGAAACCAAGCCTTCTACCCGGCTCCTCATTTTCTTGAGGTGATAATTTAACTTAATAAATGCCATCACAGGTGAGTGGCATCAACTGCTCTTTACCCCAGTGATGTGATCTTGGGGGTCAGTGCACCATTCTGAGCTCTACACAGTGCAGATGTAGCCTGATGGCTGCTGGGGTTATTGCAGCAAGGAGATGCTGGGTGCTCATGGAGACAACTTCTGCTGGCCGTGTATATGGGGCATTCCTAGAAGAGTGTGCTCTGCTTTGGTGCCCCGGTGCAAGAAGGAGGTTGGAAAACTAGGGCTTAGATAAATACATTGCCTGGAAATGTGCAGTACAACAGAGCAGAAAGTTGCTGAGGAGTGTGCAAGAATCATTAAGGTTGGGAAAGATCTCTAAGATCATCTAGTTCCTTACTTACCTGGCTGTAGCAGAAAGCTCTGCAGTCAAACAGGCGGCTGCTAAAGCAGGGGCTGGAAGCTCGATCAGTCAGGAATCCGAGCTTGCACTTCAGCTGTGAGTACATTTAACTCCTGAAACCAAGCATTGCAGCAGCCTTCCCCTTGGTGGACATTTCAAATTGAGAATGGCTTTTTTTCTAATAGTGTCTAGCTCAGAGTAGGAGTGTGTGAGAAGGTGCCATGGCTCATAAGCAATGGGTGAGGCCAGAGGAGGCCCTTCTTCCTCTGGAACTCAGAGGATGCTGATTTCAAGGGCAAGAGAACAGAGTGCCCACTGTGGGGTCAGCACAGCCATGTGGCACCGGTCACCCTCTGAGTCTTTGGGACTGAGCACATGCTGAGGACTTTGCAGCTTCCTGTGTATTGCCTTTGAGATGCCAGCTCTTGTTTTTGCCTCTTTCAGATCACACAGTTCCTTGGGTAAGTTGTAAACTCTCTCACTTATCTTATCTTATCTCCCTACGGAATTATGGTTGTCATTTAACGAGAAGCACAGGTTTTATCTGAAGTGCTGAGGAATGCAGCAGGACTTGTACTGCTCTATGCAAGTTGTGCTGACTGAAGGACATCCCAGTGCCAAGTGTCCTGCTCAGAAGTGGGGCTGCCAGCTGGCAGGGCAGATGGCTCCCAGGGCGAGCAGAATGAACTCCCTGCCCCTGTGCTTCCCCCCACATCTGCACTTTGCTCTGGATTTCATGGGGTGTCTCAGGGCTGGCAAGTGGGAGATCTCTGCATCTCTCTATAAGTACCTGAATGGAGGTTGAAACCAGGAGGGGGTCAGTCTCCTGTCTTAAGTGACAAGTGATGGGATGCCAGGAAATGGCCAAGGGGAGGTTCTGATTGGGTGTCAGAAAGAACTTCTTCATGGAGAGGATGGCCTGGCAGTGGACTGGGCTGCCCAGAGAGACAGTAGAGTCCCTGTCCCTGGAGGTATTTAGAGTGGATGTGGCACTAAGGGACACGGTTTGGTGCTGGGATTCATTAGATCAGGTTGATGACTGGACTTGATGATCTTGAAGGTTTTTTCCAACGTAGATGATGTTCTGAAATGCTGCTTCCAGCAGCGATAACATCGTTAACCACGTATCTGCTAGATGAGGGCACTGCAGTAGCTTTTTTGGTTTTGCAGGCAGGGTGCATGGTCAGCACAGGTGTGCTCTTGCCTAGGGCAGGGCTGGTAACATCTGTGAGCCACCCAGACCTTGTGGCAGATGGGCTGGAGGAAGGGGGAGGTAGGCAGGGTGGGACTGGGCTGCAGCACAAGGTGAGGGAATGGCACTAATTCTACCACCATCTCTTTGTGCTCCTCTTCCCAGGATGCGTGAGGTGGACCTGGGCTGTGGGAAGGCACTGCTGATCAAGGAGGCTGGAGAGTTCTATGCCATGGGACACAAATGCCCCCACTATGGGGCCCCGCTGGTTAAAGGTCAGTCAGCCACTGGGATGCTGTGCTTGATCCCATCTTTGGGTTGATATAATTCCTTCAGCAGCAAAAAGACATGTCTGTGGTGTCAGTGAGGTGCCAGCAGTTCACTTTTGCCACAAACCAGCTCCTTTGAGCAGGGAGAGCCGAAGTCCAAGGCAGCAGTGCCCGGAGCAAATAACCCTGTTGCTCTGGACATGTGATTTCCTAACAGCTTGTAGACTCCATGTTGCATCAGGTCTGTTCTCAAGTAGGCTTGCTCTGAGGGATGCTCTGCCTGAGGCACAGTTTGCTCAGGCTGGGTTTATAGACCTGAGTGCAGAACCCAGGAGACTGCAGGCAAGGATGTGCCACCATTGTTCTGCTTTCTGCTTCCTTTGTGCAGGGGTTTTGTCCAAAGGAAGGGTCCGCTGCCCCTGGCACGGGGCTTGTTTCAACATTGGCACTGGTGACATTGAGGACTTTCCTGGCTTGGACAGCCTGCCCAGGTTCCAGGTGAGATCTTTGTTCCTATCAGCACGGCCTGTGTGGAAGTGTGGGCTCAACACATGGTGGCCTGTGGGCCCTCCTCACAGCTCTTCCCTGTCTTGCAAACTGCTGCTCTTTGTCACCCTCAGGTGAAGATTGAGAAGGAGAAGGTGTACATCCGAGCAAGCAAGCAGGTGAGAGGCAGAGCTGCCCCAGAAGCAAAACCAGAGGCTGGCTCTGTGTGCTTATGGGGGGATGCTGCTCTTTGGGAAGTATCTGAGCAGATGGATATGTGAGCATCCAGAATGGGGAAACCCAAAGTCTCGAGCAGCAGTCCTCTCCTCTCAGCCGTTTGACCTCATCAGCTGCATCAGAACAGTGTGTGGCAATGCAGGTCACATAGTCCATCAACTTCCTTGAATATTAGAGGCATTACGAGCTCAGTTGCAGGCTGAAGTTCCTGATAGAACTTTTGCATTTCCATTTCCCCTGCTGACTGCAGAATCACACACTGGTCCACCTGTCTTTTTTTTTTTTTTCCCAGTGCTTTGTCTCTGCATGAATTTGCCAACAGCAATGGATATTTTTTTTCTTTTGTACCTGGAAGGGAGCAGTGCACTGGGTAATGGGAAGGCATTTGGTTGAGCATGGGTTTGGGGTCCTCACTGGGTGCAAGGATGTGGGTGTTCCCTGGTTGGTCCCCAGTTCCTGCCTGGCTAATGACTGTTCTTCTTCTTGCTGGTGGCATAGGCTCTTCAGACACAGAGGAGGACGAAGATGATGGCAAAGTGCATCTCCTTGAGCAACTACAACCTGAGCAGTACCAACGTGCTGATCATCGGTGCAGGTATCGAGCGGCACGTTCTGGGGCAGCACTGCATGTCCCTTCCCAGCATGGGTGTCAGAACAGCAGGATGTCCAGGCTGGTTTAAGTAATATGTCTCATATAACCAAATGTGGAACTCCAAACTGAAGAGAAATGCCTGAGAGAAGGCAGCCTGGAGGTACCCCACGTGGTTGTGCTGACATGATGTGTTGTAGGTAAGGCGCACAGCTTGCAACAGGATACTAAACCAACATGCAATTAGCAAGTTCTAGAAGTCCAGGAACTTGAAAGTCAAAGAGGAGCTGCAATCTCAAGCACATTTTCCATTCCTTGTGCTCATACTGTTTGTTGGTAAGAGCTGGAGTGTGACTCCCATTGGCCAAGGGCAGCTGAGGTCTCCAGGGAGCATGGGATGGCTGTGGATAAATGGTCATCCAAATCCTCAGCCAAGATGCTCAAGAAGTGATGGTTGTTGTTGCTGAAAGAACTTTCTCAGCCTTGACCAGCTATGCTGACAGCTCTTTCTAAAGGCCGAGGTCTGTTCTGGTAAGCAGGAAAGGAGATCTCAAAGGTAGCTGAGTGGGAAGAGAATACCACAGTCCGTTGCATTGGGTTGCTGAAGGCTGCCCACTGCTGCACTGCACTGCTGGGCTCGGAAATATACCCCACTGAGCCTGTGGAAATCCATGTGGGTTTGAATGAGTTTTTTTCTACCTGAATTTGTAGGAGCAAAGGATTCAGGCCATCAGACACAATGTATGCTTGGCTGGTGTGGGTCTTCCTTCTTCCTTAGGTGCAGCAGGGTTAGTCTGTGCAGAGACGTTGCGCCAGGAGGGTTTCTCAGACAGGATTGTAATGTGCACGATGGACAGACACTTGCCCTACGACAGGCCGAAGCTCAGCAAGGTTTGTACCACCTTGAGTACGAGTCTCAAAGAATTGCACTTTGATATTTCTCCTCATTGCACAGTTATGTGTTTCTTCTTAATTCATCCTGAAAGATGGAACACAAAAGGAGAGTTGTACAAACTGTGCGAGGGATCACCAGCACGGGATCTACCAGCAGCCATCCTGGCCTGCTCATTCCTGCATGGATCCTCCTATGGTGTTCCTCAATCAGAATCCTCAGAGGAATGAAATGGGGCTTGTAAACAAATGGTGTAATCTACTGGGATTTTTATTTCTTTACGTGTTTCTTATCCTTGTTGTAATTGTTATATAAAAATGATTGGTATAGACAAGTAATGCTCCTTGCTATAATTGTAATGAGCATTGCTTGTCATTGTGACTTGATAATTTGATCTCCATGCAAAGTTCACTTTTTTTCTGACATACATTCCATTTTGAATGCCAATTTGTAGAGACAAGGCTGATCTTCTGATCCCATTTTTATTTCTGACCAAGGCTTTGCTTGATACCAGACAACAACTCAGTTTTAGCAGCAAGGTCTTGAAGCTGGAATTCAAAGAAGAGCAGGCAGTGTGTGTATTCCCTTTTATGTCAGGGATACTTACCTAAGGGAGCTGATACTCAGCAATCAGAGCTTCTAACTCAGCTTGCAGCCCCCAAACAAAGCCTTTTCCAAAGGGATGCAAAGATACACGTGGCTTTTTAAGAGCACTGGAAAGATCCATTAGAGGAGTAGCATGTAAAGCTGTATGCTGCAGGCTTCTTGCCTCCTGAAGCTGCATCATTGCCCTTCCTCTTGCTGAATGTCTGTTTTCAGTCCATTCTAAGCTTCCTCACACTGCTCCCTTCTGTGCCCTTTGGACCATTGGTGTCCAGCACTGGAGAGCAGCAAAGCCCTCAGTGCCTCTGCACTGCTCCACGCTGCCCTGCTCACACACCAGCATGGCAACCTGTGCTCCCGAGCCGTGGGGTCAGAAGTTCCTCTCTTAGTAAACACCAAATGTTTAAAGAATGTGCAGTAAAACCCGTGTGACCCTGCACCTGCCTCAAGACCGAAGATACAGATTTCTTCTGAGTACACAGATACCTGAAGTCATGGGAAGGGAGTGCCCCCTGATCCCAACCACGTAGAGATGAAGGACTTTGCACGTCCATCCCAGGTATGCAGCTGGTGCTAAGGGTGCAGGTGGTGAAGCCTTTGGTTCGTGGAGGAAATCTCTTCAACAAATGCCATAAGGTCTGATTTCAGATCATAGAGTCGTGGAGGCACGGGATGGCTTGAGTTGGGAGTGCTGGGAGCAGGTGATGCTCTGCTTGCTTTTTCAACTCACAGCAATTGACAGAAAAACGTGCTCTTTTATTTTTTTTGGTAGTCCATGGATGCCCACCCAGAGCAGATTGCCCTGCGCCCCAAGGAGTTCTTCCGCACGTACGACATCGAAGTCCTGACAGAAATGCAGGTATGGAGAGTCCCACTCACACACTGTGGTCTCACCTGCTGACTCCTGATACAGAAATGCTGAATCTCCCTCATTCCCTGGGCTGTTCTGTGCCTCATAGCTCAGTCTGTGGTTGTTCAGAACCAGAATGAATGCAATTCTCCCCTGGGTGAACTCCACACTGATTGTCATTTCTTACCTGCCGTTTGCTGAGCATCCTTGCAGGGATTTGGGGTGACCAAATGGCTTCTGATCAGGACAGTCTGCCTGCAAGCACCCAGAAAGTGATAAAGTAAACATTTTCTCCTGCTATTTTATTTATTCTGGGAGATCTTCAAGGATTTGTAAAAGTCAACTAGAATGATAGAAGGTCTGGGTTGGCTGAGCTGCTGATAGGAACCAAACCTTTAAAACAAGGGAATTACTCAAAAATTAAAAATTAAAACCTATGTTATGGGTAGAACAGAGACAGCAGAAGTTCTCTGCAGAGTTCTGCAGAGAAAGAGGCCAGATGGTAGTTTGTTAGACTGTCCAGGCCAGGCAGAGCATCAGCATTCTCTCGAGGATCTGTCATTCACAGTGCAGATGTTGGCTTTTCAGAGAGGTTCACAGAGAAGTAATCCTCAGCCTGGAGTGCTACCATCACTGTTACTCCATAACCGTGTCCCTGAGACATGGAAGGGCAGGCTCTGGCTCAGCACGTGGCATCTCAGGGGGTATCTAAGATTTCATCCCTTAACATGATTTAGAAATGATTTCAGGCTGCGGCTGTGGATATCAAGAACAAGACGGCTGTGTTCAAGGATGGATTTAAGATGGAGTACAACAAACTGCTGATAGCAACTGGAAACACGTAAGCCACAGAGAAACATTTCAAAGATCACGAGAAACTGTTGCATCTGAGAAGCTGAGGAGCTTCTCAGTGGTTGAGGATGCTTGAGGATGAGGGATCAAATGTGGCACTTCAGTTTTGAAACCAAATTCGTTTGCAGAAATGTTTGCAGAGAAGGCAACAAACACATGTTGGGTAGTCTGTATGTCTCTCTCTCTAGCTCTGTTGTCTCTAGCTCAACCAAAGCTGAGGATCAAATAATACATCCACTGGAATTTCCACCTTTCACTTCTGGCCGACCTTAAGATCTTTTGGGTCCTGTGCCTGGCTTCCTTGCAAACAAGTGCTGCTGCCACATCAGTTGGTAGGCTGACACTGGGCAATGCAGCACTGCAGCCAAATGCACCCACCACCTATGGAGGTGCATAAGCCTTTGGAGGTTGTGGATGCCCCGTCCTTGGCCGTGTTCAAGGCCAGGTTGGATGGGGTCCTGGGCAACCTGGTCTAAATGTGGATGTTTGGTGGCCCTGTTAGGCAGGGGGGTTGGAACCACATGATCCTTGAGGTCCCTTCCAACCCGGGTGATTCTGTGATTCTGTGATTCTGTGATTCTGTGAAATAATTTCAACATCCTCACTTGCGAGCTCTGAGTACACTGGGTGTTTTTAATGTACCTGAATTATTTAGGATCTTCAGTCCCATTTCCAGATTAAGTCGTGTATGCAAGGGCCGGATATTTAAAAATACATATGCCTCAGTAAATGCATGGGGATGGCAGGATTAAACTGCTACCGAAGCCACATCTGCACAGGCTTATAAAACCTTTAAAATCTGGCTCCAAAGCTTCTGCTGAAGGACAGAGATGGCAGTGTCCCATTGGGCCTTTGAAAAAATTTACTGCACAACAGCAGTTAAACTTAGAATCACAAAGCAGGAACCATCCTGCATCGTGCTCCACTTCTCCATGCAGAGTTTATCCTAGCCCTGTAGGGTTGTCCCACCAAACAGTTGCATGAGGGCTGTTTCTGGGGCTGAGGGCTCTTGCCACTGTCCTGCAGAGTTCAGGTTTTGCCTATTATCTCTCCAGCCCGGGTGATTTTGCAGAGAAATGTGGCCGAATGTGGCGTTTTGGCTGCGTCTGATTGCCTTGTCCTGGTGGGCTGCTGATAGCTAGGTCAAGGTGTCTGTAGGATCCCAGCCCAGATAGCCCTCCATTTGTGTTTCCAGGCCCAAAGCTCTCAGCTGTAAGGGCAAGGAAGTGGAAAACGTTTTCAACATCCGGACGCCAGAAGATGCGAACCGCGTGGTGAAGTTGGCCACCAGCAAGAACGTGGTGATAGTGGGAGCTTCCTTCCTTGGTGAGCTCCTGTTTTTGAATGGGGTTTGAGAGACCAATTGCAGATCATCAAAGAGAAGTTTCCAAAAACTCCCACAGAAAGAAAATGTATTGCAGAAGCTTTCCATGCAATCACCAGCTCCAAAATTGGTCAACAAAAAAAGAAGACAAAATGCTGAGGTCACAGGGGTTGTTTTCACCCAGTAGCTCCTTACTTCTAGAACATTCTCAGCCATGAGGAATGTTTCTTTCTTCCTTCATCCCAGGTCCATTACCAAATGGTTCCTGTGGCACGCTGGGATTCGTTAGGGCCTATTGCTTCTTTTGACCCCTAAAGCCCTCCCATGGCTTCTGCCTCTAGGAATAAATTAATGTGAATGATAAATCCCAAATGATGCTCAATGGTTCTGTCAAAGTGGCGTGACCCAAGGCTGGGTGTGGGGACAGCACTGGACCACTGGGATGTGCTTGTGTTCCCCAGGGATGGAGGTGGCTGCCTACCTGACGGAGAGGGCCCACTCGGTGTCTGTGGTGGAGCTGGAGGAGGTCCCATTCAAGAAGTTCTTTGGGGAGAGAGTTGGTCGTGCTGTCATGAAGGTGACTTTGCTTTCCTGTCCTGGCTTTGGTTTTGGTGAAGTGAGTGGGTTCTGCTGCTTTCAGTAACTTGTGGGTGCAGTTTTACGAATGAATTTATTGATGGAGCCATGGAGGTGCTCCACAGTGCAAGCCCACTAAAGACTGGGGTGGGAGCCCCAGTAAGGTTGAGGATGCAGTGCAGGCCTGCAGTGCAGGCATGGGACCCCACACTGGGATGGGGCAGGGGGGGCTGAGGTGCACCCACTCTTCCCACAGATGTTCGAGAGCCACAGGGTGAAGTTCTACATGCAGACTGAGGTGTCGGAGCTCCGGGAGCAGGAGGGCAAGGTATGGCGTGGCAGAGGGTGAGAGACAAGAGGTGGCCTCAGCCCCACCGTATCACCCCATGGGTCTGCTGTCTTCTTCAGGGCTGGGTTTATGCACTCTCTTTCCTGGCCCCTGAAATTTCTACTTCTGGGCTTAGCCCACAGGAGGAAGCGTGCTTCAGCCATGGTGTTTGGGGTGGTAACATTGCTTTGAGATCCTGGAGGGGCAGAGGGGCCATCAAGGGTAACCCTGCTGGGACACTTCCTGGTTCAAGCTTTAACCCTGTCCCTAGAAAGCACTGCAGGACTCCCTCAGAGGACCCCAAAACTCATCCTGTTACCATTACGAGGGATTATACTCAATTAGCATGTCAGAAATGAAGTGAGGTGCTAGCTTAGCTTGCTGCTGCCATAGGTTTTACTTTGTTGACTCTGAAATAACTGCACTTTCCCCCTCTCTCCTGTAAAGCTGAAGGAGGTGGTGCTGAAGAGTGGGAAGGTCCTGCGCGCAGACGTTTGTGTCGTTGGCATAGGTAAGGGGCCATTGCTGGGAGTGCATTATGAGGTCTTTGGAGAACATGGGCCACACTGGGAAGCCTCTGCAGCATTAGAGCAAGATGAGGAGCTCTGGTAGTATTCTAGGGTACTCTAGAGAACACTAGGTGGCCCTGGGAGGTCTTCAGGGTACCCTGGGAAGCTTCTTGGCTACCCTAGAGCACACTGAGGGCTGCCAGGCCCATCAAGCCTGTGGTGGTTTGCTCTGCTAGTGGTGGAAATAGAACTGGAGGACCATAAGAAGAAGGTATTTTTCTCCTTAACGCTCATGGAGAGAAAGGTCCTTATCTAAATGTAACTTTTCTACGCTTTGCAAACGGGACCAATCGCGCGATTCGTATTTGTATAACCAAGATGTTATAGTCACAATATAATTGTGTATAATCAATAGATATCAAGATGTTATAATTGCAATATAATCAAGAGAGTAAAGCAAAGCAGACAACGATCACAAAAAGAGAATAAGTGGAAGAGCTTACCCTTGGGCTGAGCTCACCAGAAGATACCAAAAGAGGGGATCTCCAGAAGAGATCCTTCCCCTCTGGTAGCCAGCTCTTAAATAGGTCCAGGCTCCACCCCTTCTGGCAGCACAGGTGAATTGCCTTCACCTGTGCTCCTCTGGCTGACTCAAGGCTCACCTCAGGTGATCAATCAGAGGTTCAGGCCGTGACTCAGCAGTTCCCATACAGTATTTCATTCTCCAAGGGTGTTGCTTTATTGACTGCTCCACAACAGAACCATTTGTGGAGTCTAGAGGAAAAAAGGCCCTTTGCTTTCTCCCACAGGTGCAGTGCCAGCGACGGGATTTCTCAAGCAGAGCGGCATCAACATTGACTCCAAAGGCTTCATCGTGGTCAACAAGGTGAGCGTGGTGGTGAAGCCAGCTCCTCCAAGCTAGACTTGCCTTGGGCTCTGAGCCACCAGCATGGGGACAGTCTGTCCCCAGGTGCTTATGGAGATTATGAATACTGCCACATGTGAGGTTTGCAAAGCCCAGCCATCTTGGTGCTGTGGGTGTCCACATCTGCACAGCTCCCACCCCTGGGGACCTTGAACAATTCCCTGCTGGCTGCCAAGGTAGAGTGAAAATCCCACCCAGGTGTCCTTCTGCTTCCTCCCATCAGATGATGCAGACCAACATCCCTGGAGTGTTTGCAGCTGGTGATGCTGTCACATTCCCACTGGCCTTGAGGAACAATAAGAAAGTGAATGTCCCCCACTGGCAGATGGCCCATATGCATGGTAGGTGCATCTGAGTGCCTTCGCTTTGCACAGCAAACTGCTTGCAGGAATGAACCTTCTGCATGTCCACGGGAAATTTCCAACCCTTTAGGAAGAGAATGAGACAACTGAGCGCAGGGAAACGGAGCAGTTGTAGGAAACTCTGGGAAAAATATATTTTCTCCTGTCCCCATGCTTGCTTAGGCTCAGAGCTTCTTCACTTTGCTGTTTCTTGTCTTCCAGGCCGTATTGCAGCACTGAATATGCTGGCCCACGGCACGGAGATCAGCACAGTCCCCTATTTGTGGACTGCAATGTTTGGGAAAAGCATTCGATATGCAGGTGAGGGATTCCCTGGGACTGTTGTGGAGTCAGTGCTGGTGGAACTGTTTTGGGACACAGAAGTCATGACCACCTTGCAGTGCCAATTCCAGCCCCCTCAGCTGGCTCAGGGTGATGTGCAGGGACACCTCTTGTTTAGCAAGGCATGAAGGGCCTTGTGGACGTGGAAAGTCTCCCTGAACATGCGTGTATTTGAGCAAGCATGGATGATTCTTCATCCCGCTGCCTTCCAATGCCCATCTCTCAGTGACTGTGGGATGGCTGCCTCTAGTGTAGCTCTGGGTTAAAGCACTTTTTGCTAGAGCCAGAGCTGTATCCAGAGGAAAGAAGTGAAAACCAACCTTTAATTCCATGGTCAAACTAAGTAAATGACAAGCAGAGCAAGACGTTTGCTGTGGAACAGTTTTCTCTTAGGAACAGTGCTTCTCCCACTCATAATAATTTCGTCTTTCAGGCCACGGGGAAGGATTTGATGATGTTGTCATTCAAGGAGACTTGGATGAACTGAAGTTCGTTGCATTTTATACCAAGTAAGTGTTTCTCCTTTCTCCTCTCCGTGTCCATTTGGCTCAGCTTGTTCTGCTAGGCTGGAAATTATTTTTGCTAGAGCTTCTTCCAGCCAGTTCTGCTCCAATCTGGACACTGAGGTTGCAGGGCATTAATAAATTGCAAGTACAAATGCATTAGTGCCAGGCAGTAGAGAAGCAACGTGCTGAGTATTTCTCTCCAGCATACAGTCTTCTTGGAAGCTTCTTCCCACCCTTCCTTTCCATCCTAGGGCGCAATTTATCCCAACCCTAATTAGAAAGGAAATGCCAGAGCACTTTAATAAAACATCTGTGGAGCTCTTTCAAGAGCCAGGTGAAATAATCCCCAGCATGGTGCAGGGCCTCACGCTGGGTCTGCGGGGCGGGCGCTGAGCGCTGCCTTCTTCTGCCACCCAGGAGGGGCCCCAGGAGATGGCTTTGGTGTGGCAGGACGGCACCGTGCGCCGAGAGCTGGAGGTACTGAGGGGTCCAGCGGGCTTCTCTCAGCCACAGCCCCATCTCTGCCTCTGCCAGAGGTGACTGGCAGCGTTTCTTTCCTCCTTTCCTTGCCGTTTGGTGATAGTCCTGCTGCTGGTGCTAACGCTTTTGGATGAGGATGCTGTCCCCAGGTGGCCGTCTCCTGTTTCCCATGTCTACCTGTTGGCTTAGACTCTTTTTCTGGTGCGTGCTGGTTCTTGCATGAAACGCTGGTGGTGCCCGTTGCTGGAGCCTGCCCTGAGCATCAGCTTTCACAATAGAACTCTTTTCTTTTCCAGAGTTTGAAGAACAAAACAGTTTGTCCCCATTCAGTGCTGAGGGTGAGCTGCTGAGGGGTCAGCCTGGGGCTGTATGCAAAGGACAGGGCGCTCTACAGTTGTCTTCAAGAGACACCACAGCACCTTTGCCAGAGCAGACCAATGTTATCCCAGTCTGTAACTCCCTGGAGCTCTTGGGAGACCCAGTGAGCAGCTGTGGTTGCCTTCCTCGTGGCACCCCATTTCCACTGTGCTGAGCCCTACAGACGAAGGGAAGGCCATGTGCAGATGGTGCTCATCCCCAGCAGCCTACTGCCCATAGGCCAAGACTTCTGATTGCTCCCCGTTCCTGCTGCAGGGAGCGTGCCCTTATGGCCTCAAAAGACCTCTTGAAAAACAGGGACTCCTCCTGGCCTCAAAGAAAACGTTTCAAAGCCAGTGCTGATGTGAGGTGCTCCAGTTCACTACTGCCTGCACGTTATTTTGCAGAAGGACCACCTGCCCCTTGTCTTGCTGATGGAAATGGTTGCATGTGTCGGTGCACAACAGCATCTCACAGTGGGGAGAGAACCTCCTGGATCAGCTGTCAGTGCAGGGTCCCACAGCACCTAAATTCATTGTGTTCCAGCAGATACTTCCAATCCAGGGTGCTCTTCTTGGGGGCTATGTTGGATATTAGTGTTCTTCTGAGGGATGTGAACCAGTGGGCACGGTGGTGATGAGTGGATGGGTGGTAGGACTGGATGGTCTTGTTTTTTTCCAGCCTCAGCTTGCAGTTGTGCAGAGGACAGAGTGCAGTTTAAAACAGCACCCAGCCTAAGATTTGCTGGCTCCTTGCATGGCTCTTGCCATTTTGTGCGTGTGTTAATGGATAAAACATGGAATGAGCTGTGGGAAAGCTCCAGTGAATCTGGAGCAGATTCTGGGCTCCCGGTCTGGACAGGGAAGCTGTGGTGGTGTTTCCCTGTGGCAGTGAACTGATCCTGGTTTGTTGGGTGCCTCCACACTTCAGCTTCCTGAGCAATGTCTCCAGTATTTAATATCTCACTCATGCACCTTCCCTGATCTTTACATTATTTATTCTGTTACTAATTGTGAGTCAGACTTTGAAGATTTATGCTCAGGCTGACTCCTGCAAATCTCAGAGCAGAGGAACCCTTCTCCTTTGCTTTGTGACCTTTACCTGAAGCTCATCTGGTGTTTTTTACACCTTTCCTTCTGCTTCATTCATTTCCCATTCACCTTTTGATCTCACGTTGTACCACCAGTACTGGGACTAAGGGCAGGTGATGGTCAGCCAGACTGGGACACACTGCTCCGCCATCAGCTCCATCTCTTCTGGTGTTACTCCGTGGGCCAAGGTGCCCCTGGGTGCCCAGGGTTCCACCCCTGGGCAGTGGCACAGAGGCAGCTCTAGGCACCCTGCTGAGCATCACCAGGCTAATACACAAACTTCTGTGAGACCACAGCGGGGTCAACCAGCTCCAAGCCCTCTTCTGTCCTTGTCCCATACCGTAGTCGCTGCTCTCACCTCAGAGCAGGTCCCATTTTCCTTTGCTCCCTGCCTCTCTCCAGCATGTTGCTTCTGGGTGATGGAGATGTCCCTGTTGGGGCTGCCCTGACCTCTCTGCTCTCCGGCCCTAGGAGTGACGAGGTGGTGGCTGTGGCCAGCATGAACTACGACCCCATTGTTTCCAAGGTGGCCGAGGTGCTGGCTGCTGGCAGGGCCATCCGAAAGCGTGATGTGGAGTAAGTAGATGTGCTGTGCCAAGAGCTGGGCTGGGGAGGAGCCTGCAGAAGGCCGCCTAACCCTGAATGTCTTTTCTCTCTCTCTGTCTCCTGCTGCATCTGCACCTTTTAGGCTGTTTGTCCGTCACGGCAAGTACGTTCAGTTTTGGGTCCTGGGTCTGTGTGGGGTATTGCAGGTGTGCCACATCTCCAACTCCTGCACGGAGACGCTGATGATGGCCGTGTGCTTGTATTGCAACTCAAACCTGCTTGAACTGTTTTGCATGGGGTGAAAGTGCTGGCAGAGGAAGGGGTGCTGCACAGCTTGGAAAGCTCACAGCGCTGCTCGTTTTTTGTCTTCATAGAACTGGAGATATGTCCTGGCTAACGGGGAAAGGCTCCTAACAGACATGGCTGCAACCTCCTGGTACTGCGCTGGCCTCGAGGAGATGGGGATGGCTGCAGAGCTCCACGGCACGATGCAAATAATGCACCTGAGTCGTCTTCCCTTGAGATTTGGCCAAACCCAGCCTGTTTCACCCTGCAGTCACCTTCCCAGCAGCTCTGTGCATGCAAACCGCCGCCAGCTCTCCTGGGTGTGGGGTCAGTGGGTGGAATCCCCACTGCAAAGTCAGGAAAACAGACCCTGGGGGAGCAGGGCTGGCACCAGCATGGCTGGCAAGGAGCTGCAGACTGCTGACACGGGGCCCACGGTGCTGGTGGGTGCCACATCCATGCTCTCCAAGCGGCACAACAAGAGCCCCAAGCACATCCCTTCACCTTATGAACAGCATGAGTGCCTTTTGTTGTTCTCTGTAGCCAGTACATGCTCTCAAGCACATTGCTCCTTCCTAGATCCTCTTTCCTCCCCATGGAGCCCAGCATCTGCACCTTCTCCTTAATGGTAATGGAAAGATTGACATTGCTGCTGCCATGCTACTGCAGGCAGAACAGCTGGAGGAGTATTTCTGGCTGTTCTCTGCCCTCAGTCATTTACTCTTCCTGTCTCCTGATGGCGGAGCTACATATCTCATCTCAACTGGCAGAGTCAGTGCTCTGTGGCCATGCTTGCTGCTCCTGGCCGGCAGAAGGGCCCCGGTTCTTGCTCAGGAGTGGAGGTGGCCAGATCAGATCCCTGTGTTTGTCCACCCAGCAGAGCCAGGTGTGAGATTCCCCCGTGGAAAGCATCCAGTTCTGTCCTTTGGGAGCTTTGTTCCCCATCTGTCACTGCATTACCCTCAGCCCAAAGCCAGAAAATTGTTATTTTCAGTTTGATTCATCCCCCCCTTATGAATGAAAGCAGTGCTCCTATTGTGATCCAGACCCTTTCTGCTCCCTTCCAAGCCCAGCAGGTTGGGCAGATGGTGCCTGCACCTCCTGTGCAGGATTCCCTTGGTGTCCCATGTCCTGCTCATCTTTATTTCCAGACTTTCAGATCTTCACTCAGGTGGCAGCGTCAGCAGTCACACCTCCTCTTGGCCTCTTCTGCTTTCACTGCCAGGTTTTTCCCAGGCAGTGTGAGCAGTGGTGGCCGTAGGCAGGGATGTGGGCACAGTGCCCAGCTGCTGCTTTGGATCCATGGGCAGCTGTGGCTTTGCATCACATATCTTGCTGCTGGGCCGGTCAGACGCCATCCAGCAGCTCTGGGATCGTTTACCTGTTATTGCTCTGCTCCTTCTTTCCTCACTGCCCCGGCACAGCAGCTCTGTGTGCCCCCCAGCAGAGCCTGGCTGACCTTTTCCAAAGCACCACCTTTCTGCTCACCCAGAGGCACCATCCTCTGAAGTGCTCCCACACAGATGTGCAGTGTGTTTTGCTTTCCAGGAAAAGCATGTCCTGTCCACGGATGGCCAAATAGACCAGCAGGACCTCATGGGCTTTTCTACTGGTTTATCAGCCTTCCTTAGTGCACTATCCTAACCTAGTGACAGACCAACACTCAGAGCATGCTCTATTTATTCCATACCTTATAACATTGCCTGGGGTATCCACGTAGCATAGGGTTTTTCCCCAAAAGAGAGTCCTTGGTGGGACCTCCTAGCACTCCTCCTTCTTCCCAGCAGCCTGTGTGGTGTACTCCACAGCTTAGCTTTGGCTTTAGCAAGTAGAAAAATCCTTTTTATTTGGTTTCTCATGTCCCTTACCAGGGTCTGGCCCTTAAGAACTGCTTTAAAATGGCCTCAATAGCAGCGCAGCAGCCAGACCAGGCACTGGCAGCAGCTGCTGCCCAAGGCACCTGCTGGGATGGGGTGAAGGCTGAAGAGCACAAGGAGAACCATTGGGGGCCCACACCTGTGTGAGGACCCACACATCCACGATGGAGACCACCTCCTCCAAGGGGGGCAAAAAGCTCCATGGGCCTGGGGACTTGAGGACTCATTTTTTGGCAACGTCACCTCAATGCCAGCAGGGAGATGGTGGAGCACTTCTGCTGCGGTGTCCCTTCTGCAATGGGGCACATCCACATCCGTCAGGGAATTTTAAGCAATAACGATGCTGATACAATGCAGCGGGGAGAGGGTGCAATGGGGCAGAGTGCTGCGTGGAGGGGATGGTGGTGACAGACAGACGGCCACCACATGCTGCTGCCCCACTGCTGGAAATGCTCTGTACCCTTGGGCTCAGTGTCTGGGAGCTCTCACTGTGGCAATAAAGGCCCTTCCCCAGCAGCTGTGTAACATGAGAGCCAATGGCTGCCTGGCCCCACGCATTACCCTGAGCAGTAGCTGCCTTAATTCCCCTCCTGCTAATCCCAGCTTTGCTGGCAGCCATGGCTGCACACACACCGCTGCCCCCCAACCTGCGCTGGGGGCTGACGGCCTTCAGCGGCGCCCTGTTCACCACCAACAAGACAAGGGACAGCAGCACTGCTCACCTCTACCATCCAGGTACCCCGGGCAGTTTGACTCCTGCAGCCGTGGGTCCCCTGACCCTCAGCAATGGCTGACAGCAGACATCAGTGCTGTTGCACTGGGCTGGGATGCAGGGGAGGGATGATGGCGGTACCGGGGGTCCTCCCCAGCCCTGCTTTTCTCTGCCCAGTGCACGAGGTGCTGGCCAGCCTGCCCCTCCAGGTGATGCTCTACTTCAACGTCTGCTACTTCCCCTGCTGGTGCCTGGCTGAGGGCACGATGCTACAGCTGAAGGTACCCTTAGCTTTCCAACAGGGAAGGAAGGCTACACTGGGAGGGCAGAGGGAGTAGGGCTGGGGACCAGCATGGGGCTGGCAGGGACCAGGCTGTGCCCTGTTGCAGTACAACCTGCTGCCCCGCTACTACCAGCTCCTCCTGCTCGCTGCCTTCCTCATCCTCACAATGGCCGAAGGAGCCCGGCTCTACCTGGGCTACATTGGGAACCTGCAGGAGAAGGTAAGGGCTGGCCCCCTGCTCCATGCTGGATGTCCCCTCCGCCCAGGGTCTGAGAGCCCTTCACTTCCCTTCCTCCTTGAGTGCCAATTCACCGAATCACATGGAATCACAGAATGACCAGGGTTTAAAGGGACCTCAAGGATATGAATCTCCAACCCCCCTGCCACAGGCAGGGCCACCAACCTCCCCATTTAATAGCAGACCGGGCTTCCAGGGCCCCATCCAACCTGGCCTTGAACATCTCCAGGGATGGGGCATCCATGACCTCTCTGGGCAGCTGTTCCAGCACCTCTCCACTCTCTCTGTAAAGAACTTCCCCCTGACATCCAATTCAGGATGCTCCAGGAGGTTCAGCCCCTGCAGAGGTGCCCCCCACATACCAAGGTTTCCCATACATCCTCACCAGCCTCTGCCCATCCAGGTGCCTGAGCTTGCTGGCTTCCTTCTTCTCTCCATCCTGATCCAGCTGCCCCTCCTGCTGTTCCTGCTCACGGACCACCTCACCATCCGCCTGCCGCTGGAGCTGGCCGTGCACAGCCTTCTCCTGGCCTTCCTCATCTGTGAGGTGGTGGCTGCCTTCCTGGCACTGCGGTCAATGAGCAGGCAGCTGGCAGCTCAGTTCTACCTGCGGCAGTTCAAGGTGGGCAGGCAGGGTGATGCTGTGGGACACGATCCTCCCCACTGAGCCCAACAACATTAAACAGCACCAGCTCCCAACGTGCTTCTGAGCACTCTTTTCTGAGCCAGGCAGCTCTGGGGCTCGTGGGGTTTTCCCTGAGCTCTGCACCAATAAAGGGGTACACATCCATCTTGATCCCCAGGAGGGCAGAGTTGGGCTGTGCAGCTCAGTGCTTGCAGGATGCAGGTGCACTTTGTACGACGGTGCAAAGGATGCAGAGCTCCAAGGGAAAGAGCATGGCCTGAGCACCTCCCACTTTCTGAACAGCTTTATTTCAGTGCATCCCTGCTTTTCACAGGGCCAAGTGGGAAGGGAAGAAGCGCAAAGTGCTTTAAGCCTGTTGTGCTGAGCACGGACTGACCCCATCCCAGTGAGCCCCAGCTCCAGCAGCAGCTCTGCAGCAAGGCCCTGGAGCTGCATGTTGTGTCAGGAGGACTCTCCATATACTCTCTATGTACCAAGGACTTCTGCTGATGCTGGCACTCCTTCAGAAGTGCAGCACCCAGCCCCAGTGCTCGGCCAGAATTGGGCCACCTCCTGCAGGGTCAAAGCTGTGCCCCATCACATCTACCTGCAGGTCACTCCAGTGTGCATTGCTGAGCATCTCCCAGGTCCTGGCCAGCCCTCTCCGCCTCAGCTGCTGCTTCTTTCTTACCTTTGGGAGGTTTTGCCTGCAAAATGAACAGACATTTGCTACAGTCCAGGGGATGCCCAGATCCTGCCCTGCTCTGCCCGTTCCCATGCTGACAGTTCCATTCCTTAAGGTTGACTTGCAATTCAGGTTGGAATAAGGCCAAATGCTTTTCCCCCAGTAGGATGGTGGAGCCCTGGGACACTTCCCCAGGGAACCAGAAAGCCTTGAAAGCTGCCAACTTTCTGTCTGAGAAAGCTGAAGATACCCTGAGTGAGGGCAGGCAGCAGACCTGCTCTGATGGGGAATGAGAGGGTTCTGGAAGGGTTCCCCATCCACCTGGGCAGTGCCAAGCAGGCATCACGCACAGCAAGAAAATCTACAGCATCAACATTGACACAGCTTCCAGATCTGCTGAACTGAGTTACAATCAAAGGGCAAAAAGCAATGAAATCAGCTCACAAAACCTCAGCTCTCCCAGGTGGTCCCACAGCCCCTCCTCACCTCCTCAAATTTCTCTTTCCAATAGAGGTCAGCCTTCGCATCCAGGTAGAGCAGAACCAGGTCACAGACCATGGTGGCCTAGAGAGGGGACAAATGGAGCAGAGGTGGGGAATGCTGTGGGTCAGGGCTGGCAGAGGGGAGAGCCACAGTCATAGCCATGCAAGGGATAGGGACGCGTGGGGGAAATGGGGGCTGGTGGGGGACCCCATTACCAGGTCAATGGCAGCAAGTGCCAGGCATGCTACACTGGGCTGCACATCACGCTTCCTGAAGCTAGGAAGCTGCAGATGGGCAGCGGATCATAGCCCATGGATCTGAGGAAAAGAGCATCTTCTGTACTCACGGTTCCAAAGAACGCGATGCCGGTGCCGAAGCTGACAGCAGCGGGAATTATGCCGAATTTCCCAGCCTGAGGAAAACAAGGGGTGGAGGAGAGAAGGCAGAGAGCAGAGAGAGGGCTGTGAGGAGCCCACAGGGGAGCTGTGGGGCTGCAGGAGGAGCGCTGCAGGCAGCGACAAGGAAGGAGGGTTCGGGGACACGCTACCTGGCCGTGCACAGAGATGTCAAAGCGGATGCCATAGAGCTTCAGCAGGCTGCGGTAGTGCTGCCTCTGCAAGTCCCAGTAGTAGGAGGCCGTTCTGCAGAGGCACACAGGGCTCAGCCACACATCCCTGCACTCAGTCGGGCTCAGCACAGGCATGGCTGGCTTTGCGGGTCCCATCTGCCCTGCTGCTCCTTTCAGGGAAAGGGAGATTCCAAGTGCCAGCAGTGTGCCCACCCCAGCGCCCTCACCTGAAGTTGTACCTCCTGTCCAGCAGGATGAAGGAATAGCGTGGCTGGCAGTGGGCAGCAGGCTGGTCCAGGTCGCAGTCCCACTCAATGCGCACGCTGATGCTTCCTCCCTGCGGCACACCAACACACGTTACAGAGATGTCAGAGCATCACAGCACGGTTGGGTTCAAAGGGACCTTAATGCCCCCCGGCCCCAACCTCTGCCCTGGGTCGGTTGCCTCCCAGCAGATCAGGCTGCTCAGGGCCCATCCAGCCTGGCCTCCTTTGGGGAATTAGAAGTCATCTTTCATGCTTGAAAAGAAAAAGAAGCAAATACCAGCAGTGCGAGGGACCCAAAGGTCTCCCCAGCTGCTTCCACCATGTCACGGACACGGAACACAGGGCAGGAAGGGCTGAAAAAGGGATCGTAGATGCAGGTCTTGAAATAGGTGGGATCGTTGGTCTGCAGCGTGTTGCCCCTGAAACAGGAGAAGGAGAGACAGAGGGGTGGTACGCAGCCCTTGGGATGAGCTGAGTGTAGAGGCTGGGCCGGGCAGCACACACTGTGGGCTGGAGGGTGTCATACTTACTTGGAGAAGTTAAATTTGGTGAAGTTGACAGTATTTTTTATAAAAAGAGTGAAATTCTCTGCCTCAGCCAGAAGAGGTTTCCTGCAAAACAACAAAGCCCCGCGATTTGGGCGACATTGGCAGTGACAAAGGACCAAGAATCACGGAACCATTAAGGTTGGGAAAGACCTCTAAGGTCATCTTACGCCTGCCTACCACCACCGCTGCCCACTAACCACATCCCTCAGTGCCAGAACACCTGGGGGGACCGTCCCCATCCCTGCGCTGTACCTGGGCAGGGTGTCATTCTCCACGGGGCACCAGCCAAAGATCTCACAGGTGGAATGGGTGCTGTTGAACATCACACATTTCCCAGTCTTAATCCCTAGAAAGGAGACAACGCGAATGGCACCCTGCCATTTTAAGGCAGTCTCCAGGACTTATTGCCAAAGGGCACTGAAAGTAGGCAATGAGGCATTGCTATAGAGCTGGAATTGAATGATTTTAGTCTATTTTTTAAGCAAAAAACACAGTACCATTGCCATGAACCACTGGATTTCCAAAAGGACAGTCCACATCTTCCATGCAGATCCCATCCAGCACAGAGGGGCTCTGAAAGAGACAGGAGAGAAGGGGTCACTGCTGTGGCGCCCTTAAGGCTCACAGCCATTCACTCACATCTCCATGCACGTCCCAAATGCTTCCAAACCAGCAGCACAGTCCCCCCAGAGCTGGGATAAGGGGTTCCCCAGGACAGCTTCATGGTTGGGTTGGAAGGGACCTTAAAGCTCACCCACTTGTTGTATGTGAAGAGGTGCAAAGCTTGGGAATTCAGCTACTGAAGTCCACATCAGTGCTTTAGAAAACCTAAATCTGGCCAAGATTCCTTCAACACACCCTTCCTATCACCTTCTAGTAAGTCAGCCTTGAAAATCTATTGGTGACGGTGTTCTCCAGGGGCACAAACAGAACCAGGTTGCACGTGCTACAGGCGCATGGTGAGAGATGAGATCTGCTGTGCAGAAACCCTTGAAACGTCAGGGCTGAAGGGTTTATTGGGGAGCACAGAAAATAAACGTACCTGGGCAGAGAATGACTTCACTCTTTATCAGAAACCACTGCTGATTCTTCAACAGCTGCACAGCCATGCACTGCAGCCAGGAAGCAAAGCCAGCCTTCTTGGAGAGCAAAGCACCAGTGGCATAGATAGGAGCAAACATGTTCTTTAAGATCTAATGCCCATCTCACCCCCCTTCATGAGCAACATCCCAATGCTCCCTGAGCTCAGGCAGCTCAAGGTTGCGCCCACAGCCCTGGGAAGCTGTGCCATGCCACACACCACTGGGAAACCACTGTGCCCAACTCCTCCCATACAGCCCCCCAACAAGGCTGCTCACCTCGGGACAAGTGCCCTGAACCTGCTTGTCTGTCACAATGAAGTTTGTCACTAGAAAAAGCACGTTTTCTCCCTGTGAGGCAAGAAGACACCGTCAGCACTGCGCTGCTGCAGAACACGCTTTAGAGCTTCCAACCTCTTCTTCGGGCAGCAGAGCCGGGAAGCTTTACGGAGGGGTTGCAGCCGGGGCTCGCAGAGATGCCGCGGTTGTGACCCGGGTTCGAATCCCGGCGAGGGACGGACCCGAGTTCGAATCCCGGCGAGGGACGGACCCGAGTTCGAATCCCGGCGAGGGACGGGCCCGAGTTCGAATCCCGGCGAGGGACGGGCCCGAGTTCGAATCCCGCTTCCCTACCTGCGGGGGCCTCGAGAAATCCGCCGCATCCCAGAGCCGTCTCCTCGCGTCCTCCGCCCGGCTGACGGACACTCCCTTCAGCTTAGTGACGACCGAGACGTGGGGAGCGGCATCGGTGTCCTGGTAACCCCTCCGCACTACGAACACCCACCTGCAGACGGGCGGAGCGATGAGCCCGGCTCGGAGCCGCAGGATAAAGCAGCGCTGCGGCTCGGTCCTACCCCAGCACGTAGCCCAGCACGGCGAGCTGCAGCAGGCGGTGCAGCAGCCCCACGCGCCGGTTCCTCGTCAACGCGAACTTCTCGGTCTTGTAATCCAGCAGCTCCCCGCACAGCGCTGCGCCTCCGCCGCCCGACGTCGCCATGGCAACGGCGCGGGGTCCAGAGATGGCGGAGGATCGGAGCTCCGCGTTCCGCCCTTCTCCCTCGCATCGGGAGCACAGCTCGTACCTGGCGGCGTGCCGGGCCTGCGGCGTCTGCCCGGCCTCCTGTCTGCTGCCCGATCCGCCCGGCCCTGCGCTCCTCCTGCGGCACCGCGGGGTGGGCTCTCGGGTGAGGGCAGCTCTCCTGTCCTCATCATTCCCCATCCCTGCTATTACCCCCTCGCATTATCCTCCTTCTCTTTACCCTCTCGCCATCCCCAGTATGCCCCTCATCGTCCCCCCGCCATCCCATCCTTATCATCCCATTATTCATCCTCCCACCATCTCCCCCATCCCCATTATTCCTCCCCCTTGCTAACCCTCCATTAGTTATCTCCTCCCCCATCCCTGTTATTTCCCACCACCCTTTATATCCCCCTCCATCCCCCTTATTCCTCCCCTCATTATTCCCTGCTCTTTAGCCCTTACCATACTGCATTACCTCCCCATCCCTGTTATGCTCCCACCATCCCTTCTATCCCCTCCACTTCCCTACCCCACCCCCATGGTTCTTCCCTCCCCCTCCATTACCCTCTCTTCCTTATTCCCTCTCCATTACCCTTCCTATTATCCTCTATCCTTCCCCATTACCCCCCCCCCCCCCAGCCCCCTTATTCCTCTCTCTTGCTCTCCCATCCCTGTTATACTCCCCGTTGTCTCCCCCACCCCTGATTGCACACCAGAACCCCAACATTATCAGCCCTCCCTTTCCGGGGCTGCTGGTTCTCCTCTCCAGGAGTCAGAGAGCCCATTTTTGTGACAGGGAGGTGTCGAGGACCCACCTCCTCCTGCTTGGCCTTCAGAGACATCCAGGTTGGGCACCAACAACTGGTGCCTGCCTTTGGGGAGCAGAGTCACACAGAATGGCTTAGGTTAGAAGGGACCTTAAAGCCCACCCAGACCCTGCCACGTGCAGGGACACCTCCTGCCGCATCAGGCTGCCCAAACCCCACCCAGCCCTTCCCTGAGCACCTCCAGGGATGGGGCAGGTTACACCAGGGCCTTTTTTGTTGCAGGGTGCCAAGGCATTGGCTCTTTCCTTGATGACCAACACCTCTGTCGTCTCGTTAGACCTGGGTGACAATTGGCTGCTGGGAGAAGGAGCAGCTGCCATTGCAGAAATGCTGAAAGAAAACCACTCCATTTCAGGTTTGTGTCATCCTTCCTGCAATTCTGTGGTGGCAGCTTTGCTGTAGAAGAAGAAATTGTGCTGTTTTCTTTGTGGTTTTAACCAATCCCCCTCTTACAGCAGCTCTGAGGCCTCTCCAGAGGCCAGAACTTTGTGTAAGCCAAACTGGTTGCAGCCCTGGAGGATGTATGTTATTCACCAAGAACGAGGTCAGCGTAGACAGCTGAGAATAGAACACAGCTTTCAGCTGAGGCTGCCCTAATCTGCTTTGTCAGGGCAACCACAGATGGAAGAGTCAAGTTTGGTGCTGTGAAACACCCCAAAAAAATGGGATCTTATTTTCCTTTTCTAGTGGTTGAATTCTGTAGTAGGTGTTTAGGGTTCTATCAATTCCGTGCTGGAGAAATTCATTCTACACAGGTGGGCAGAGGAATTCAGGCTTCTGTTTTCTATGTTAAAATACAGTGTTAGAACAGTTTAGACTTCTTACATTCTGAGTCTGGCAGTGCTTCTCTCATTACAGCGTGGAGGCACCTCCTTGGCATCTGTCATGATATCATCTGATGATCTGATAATGCTTTTTCCTTCCCCAGCTGTCGATTTATCTGACAACAAAATGGGCATTGAAGGAGCTAAGGCCATTTCTGCTATGCTTCTAGAAAATACTACAGTTGTGGTCCTCCAGCTCTCTGGAAATGAGTTTGATGACCACGCAGCCAAGTATTTAGCAGATGCCATCACAGCAAACAGCAAAGTGGGAGTTCTGGATCTGAGTTATAACAAGTTTGGTGAGAAAGCAGGTAAAGTGCTGTCTGCATACCTTGCATAGAGAGCAGTGCTGCAGGAGTTCTCAGTGCAGCTTGATGAGCTGCTTGCTTCCCTCAGGCCATTGGGGAGCACTTCTGCAGAACATTCCTTGTGATGTCAGTGCCAGTCCTTAACTCTTCATCTTTTACGCTCATTTACTTCAGTTTGCTTCACAAGAGATGGATAAGCAACTTCCTCTCCTTCTCCTCTCCTTCTCCTCTCCTTCTCCTCTCCTTCTCCTCTCCTTCTCCTCTCCTTCTCCTCTCCTTCTCCTCTCCTTCTCCTCTCCTTTCCCATTATTACGTATGCAGGCTTCAATGCCTTTTCTCTCCACCCCTGTGCTTCTGACCTCCTGCTGCCTTCACAGTCAAGTATCTCTCCTGTCTTCTGGTCTTGGCCATGGCTTTTTCTTTGTTTGTTTTTGTTTTTTCCCCATGCTCATCATGGATCTCATTTCTTTCCTGCCCCATCAGACATTCACAGAGCATTTGCTGGGAAAGTCTCTTTGGATTTCAGAGCTGTAGGGGTGGCTCGAGAGCAGGGCCGGCTTCTCTGCTACCAGCAAGCTGCAGTTGGCTGGAGGCCAGAGCTGTGGAAGAATGAGAGAGCCTGTGGGATGCTACCTGCTGCTGGGTGTCAGCTTTCCGAGTCGCGTGGGGCTGGAGAAGGAGGCTGTGCCATCAGCTCTTCAGGCTTGAGCCACTGACTGTGGCTCTATTATGTGCTGATTGGATTTTCTCTTCTACAGGCTGAGTTTGCAGCCTGCAGTCAGAGAACAAACGCACTTCTATTGTCTGGCAGCTTCTGCTTTGTGTCTGTGCTAAATAAGGTATAAAAGAATAATATTTTCTGGTTCTAATTGCTTGCCCAGATGGAACACAGACAATTGCAGAGAAATGCCTACACTAACCCGAGCTCCCTGCTCTGCAAAGCAACTGTTTTAACTCTTAAGCTGTTTGGCACCATGTCTTTTTCTTAAGGTGAAGTTCTTGGAGCGGCAATAGCAGAAAACATCGGATTAAAGGAGCTGAAAATCAGCTGGAACCATTTCCACAGTGAGGGAGCAGTTGCTTTGGCCAAAGGCGTGGGGGTAGGAAATGTTTTTCACTCCTGTCTTAAACGCTGAAATCTCACACGAAGCTTTGTCTGTTTGTATGAGCATCAACGTCATCATGTGATGTTTGTCCACCAGCCGTCGATGATCTGGGATCACACAGACCTTGGAACCAAGACAGTCAAATCATTCACTGTGTACTGACATAGCACATATGTTTTCATTTCTCCACTTCTAGCTCTTTCCCTTTTTAGAGTCAAACTTGACCCAATGAATGCTTTGAATTGTTTCATTGCACTTCTGATTCACAGATCAATACAGAAGTTGCTTTGTATTCTATATACAGTTTTTACTCTGCTCAAAGAAAGAAGCTTCTTTCAGCCTTTCAATACCTAAAGGGAGCCTACAGAGGGGAGGGGAATCAACTCTTTGGAAGGGTTGATGTGTGTAGGATGAGGGGAAATGGTTTGAAGTTGAGGGAGGGGAGATTGAGGTCGGACATCAGGGGGAAGTTCTTTACCCAGAGAGTGGTGAGGTACTGGAACAGGCTGCCCAGAGAGGTTGTGGATGCCCCGTCCTTGGAGGTGTTCAAGGCCAGGTTGGATGGGGCCCTGGGCAGCCTGGTTTAACACTGGACATGGAGGTTGATGGCCCTGCATGTGGCAGGGGGTTGGAGATTCATGATCCTTGAGGTCCCTTTAAACCCTGGCCATTCTGTGATTTAGTAACAAGGTTTTAAATTCAATGTCTGTGTCACACCACAGGCAAATGTGTTCCTCAAGGTGCTGGATGTTTCCTACAATGGCTTTGGCAACAGTGGAGCAGCTGCCTTGGGAGATGCTCTGCGAGCCAACAACGTGCTGGAAGAGCTCAATGTAAGGTGAGTCAGGCTTCCAGCCTGCTGCATGTTTTCTCCTGTTCTCCAGAACCTACAGAAGTGAGGTATGAGAGGAAGATGTTCCATTTGGAGCCGTGGGCTTTGTTCAGTTCATGGCCTGGAGGGAGGCATGCTTAGGGTGGTAAAGCAGCAAGGGAAGCAAGGCGGCCAAGAAGCTGAGAGCTCAAGTTTGTGGACATCAATATATGATTAATATATGATGGAAGTGGTTCCAGAAAAACGACCAGAAAAAAAAAAAAGAAAGAAAAGCAGACAAAGATGGGAGCAGGGAGCTGCCATGAATTCCCTCTGGACTGGTTTTCAGCACGGAGTGCAACAGGAGGTTGCGTATCCTTTGCCAGAGCAATGCAGTAATGTCTGGTATCAGCCTGGCTGTGTGGGCATGGGGAACCTGCAGCTCAGGCTGTGACCCATGCCATCCATCTGCTTGCAGCAATAATCGGATCTCGGTGGAAGGAGCTCTGCGACTTGCAGTTGGCCTGAAAGAAAACAAGACCCTGAAGATCCTTAAGGTGAGTGGCTTTGCCACGAGGAGCCTGCAGTGTGTGGCTGATGGTTTGCTGTTACAGTAGATGGTTTTGTGCCAAGTGGTGTCCAGCTTGAAGAGGCAAACTGGAGCTCTCACAGAGCCAAAGAAAAATAAGTTGGGGATGGGAAGAGCTGTTGTGTATCCTCCTGGTGTTTTCTTCTTGCCTCCAGATGATCAGAAATCCCACGCAGAACGAAGGATGCTGTGGGATCCTCAAAGCTCTACAGGCAAATTCTGGCACTGGCATGGAGATCCTGGACCTGCCAGTAAGTGTGACAGCGGACAGAAGAGGGAAGGGAGGGAAGAAGCTGAGTGTGTGAATAACAAAGTGCTGGCAGAGGGATTCAGGCACAAGACATCCCATGTAGACATCCCAAAGAGCATCGTTTCAGAAATAGAGGCTTTCTTTCAGACTGGTGCCCTTAGGCACTTTCAGAGTGGCTTAGTGCCCTGAGGACCAAATAATTACCAAGTGCTTTGATTTCTAAAAAGAGAAAACCCATATCTTCCATTGTGCTGCTTCATCACCTCAGCTCTTCTCCTTGCCCAGGGAGCAGCATGATGAACCTCACAGTACCCATAATGTGGGCAGCCCCGAGGAGGGGACATCCTGCCATGCACTTTGTTTACCTGCAGTGATTCCTCCTTCCAGGACATTCCTGTGAGCAAGGAGTTGGTGGAGCTGTGTGAAGCTGTGCAAACGCTTCTCCCAAATCTTCTTCTCCGACGTGGTGGAAGCACAAAACTGCAGGGGAAAAGTCTGTTGGCGGTCGAGGTTTGGCCCCAGCCCAAAGTGTTGGGTAATTCCCACAACTCCGTGCCTTAATGTCAGTCTCTTTGGGGCTGCTGCTTCTGCCTGATGTCCCAGTACTGCTGATCAAGCCAGGGACACAGGGACACGCAGGGCAGCGCTGAAGGCAGGAGCTGTGGGAATGTTGGCTGTCGCTCTGCTGCTGCCACTCAGAAGTTTTCCCGTCTGCTCACTTCAAGCTTTCTGCTGTGTCCGCTTCTGAGTCTCTTCCAGCACACGCAAGAGCTTCCCCATGGATGATGGCTCCTTTTTAATCATCATCTTTGGGCACAGGGCTGGTGGAACACTGTGTGCCATGGTCTGCTGCAGCGGAGTCTGCACAGCTCAGGAGTGCAGTGTGTTTACACAGCATCCAAAGTCTGTCCAGAGCTGTGCTGTGCACAGATGCTTGCTTTCTTCAGCTGTCCTGCCAACAGCCAGGCTTGCCTTTGCTGGACTGGCTGTCAGATGCAGCGGTGACTCATTTTCAGCTGCTTCCTTCCCCAGCTCCTTGGCCTTGTGAGGAGCTCATTATCCCCAGGGTGAAGACCCCGTTTTAGGTGTTATAACTGGTGTCATTTCCTGGATGCACAACTCTTTCTTTTCTGAGTTTCACATTGGATGGATGCTACAAGATGCCAGGAAACAGGACGAGAACTCAGCAGTGATTCAGCACTGACAGCAGCACATGGCTTTAACCCTTTCCTCCTCCCTGCAATGTGTCTGCCATCGCCCAGCAGCATCCAGGGCATCCTCTCTGTGCTGCTGGGGAGCAAATAGCTCTATGCAATTACATTTTGCAGAAAAGAAACTGTTGTATAGATGTATGAATTATTTTACATGTTTTGTATCTAATAAATAACATCTATGCCTACACTGTCCAAACCATTCATGTTTTAAGCTCTGGAAATACTGGTTGTTGGCATTAGTGATAATTTCTCTTTCATTATCGGGCAGCTTTTGTTTTGCTTTTGCTTGCAGCCTTATTCCTCTACACCTCCTTGCAGACCAGCAGCCTGGCTCCTTGCAGCACTCCTGATCTGCTCTGGTTGTTTCTGGAAGGTGAGCCTTCATGCTCTGGGCAGATCCAGATCCACATGAAACAGCTCTGGTGCAAGTCATGCTGGTGAATACAAAATGTTGAGCTACTGCTAAGCATCATTTGGGGCGGGGATGGAGCAGCCTGCAGCACGACTCTGAGCTGCTCCAGCAGCACACAGGAGTGTTTTTGTGAGTGCTTTCACCTCTATTTGATATTCAGCCCCATTTCCCTTGTGCTGGGGATGAGGGAATGCATACAACTGGGGGTGTGCCAGTTTTCAACATCCTGCCTTTCTCAGGCCCAGGGAAGGAGGGTCTGCACTGCACAGCGCTTCCCTCATCCGTCCTCAGGCTGTGTGTGCAGGAGGATGGGAGGCTCACGTGGGATAAGGAGCGGATTACTTGCAGCCAGCCCTGCAGCTCCTCTGTGCAGGGGGGTGGCAGATGGCTGAGAACCACAGAGTTGGAAAAGGCCCCAAAACTCAGTGCTCTACCGCTCCCCAGTGCAGTGGGGATGCTCACCCATGCAGCAGCCCCAAGCAGAGCCTGGACCACGGCACGTGGGAGCTGCCCCATGACCTCCAAAGCCGTGTCAGTTTTCCAGAACTCTTATACCACTCTGACCTACATACCTCACCCTGGAGCACTGCAATTAGACTGATCTCCACGCAATCCAGCCGGGCTGATTAGACCAATACCACAAGCCCCAGAAAAACGCTGTTTCTTTTAAGGAACAAATCATTGTAGGATTGCTCCCTGGCTAGCGGTGGCTACTGAGAAAAAAATGGCTTTGAGCATTATTAGGTGGACAATTTAAAACCAATTAATACGTGTTCTGTGTAGGGCACATTACCTCAGCAGGATGTGGGATGGAACAGAAGAACCAACCAATCCTGTAGCCCTGGGTAAGGATTGTAACCAACCCAGTGGTGCTGCAGAGGGCACGCTCCTCCCAGGCTGCCTCTAATCACATCTCCATCCTTAATTCCCTGCAGCCACGTCACTCCCCACCCACACACAGCCCACGTGGTCCCCACGGCCACCATCACTCTTACAGGTGAGCATTGTTTCTCTGCATTTTTACAACTCCATTTGGGCTGGTTAAGCTCATGAACAGTGCAGAACAACGGCCGTGCTGGGGCCACGCACGTATTCTGTGGCTTGTCTTTAATTCACATCATTGACACTGGGTTTGCACGTTCTCTCAGCTCAGGTCACAGCTCTGGGACAACACCACAGACCCTATCCCAGTGCCAGGACACCGCTCTGCTCAGCCCTGTCCTTGCAGCAGACACTGGGGCTGAAAGCTTCTATGCATCCATAGGGCTCCAGCTCCCTGCCCTACGCCCACAGCTCTGGCCAAAAGCCATTCGCTGCTGGGAAGAAGTGGGTTGTAAGGGGAACACAGCACATGCACCCAGAGCCATTGCAGAACCAGCGTTTATGGGGGTGAACAGGTCAGCCCGTTGCTCACAACCACTACACAGAGGTGCCAAACAGGGCCGCAGCGGGGCAGGGCTGGGCAGCAGTGACAGTGCGGGGGGAGCAGGACATGAGCACTGTCCAGGGGTGCAGAGCCCCCAAGGGGACTGGGCAGGGGATAAGAGCAGCTCCCAGCAGGGCACGGCCCCATAGGAGGATGCTGGGATGCTGTGGGGCAGGAGGTCTGCATTGCAAAGCCTGAGGGGTCCGGCAGCCTCTTCCAGCACCCTCCAAAACCTGCACCTGGGGGGATGACACCAAAAAGCACCCACTGAGCCAATCCTGAGCCCCTGGGAAAGGCAGCACCCAAGCCCAGAGGTGTGGCAGCTGCTGGGGCACAGGGGAAGGGCACAAGCTGTGCCACCCTTTCCATAGTCCTGCCTACAAACCAGGTCCCTGCCTTCACGCTGCCATGTCCCTTCCCCAGCTTGCGTGGCCCTGGCTGCTCCTTGTGCCTCTCAGTACTGGCATCGAAGGGAAGAAGCACCAGAGAGATTCGGGCAGAGGGAACAGCAGCACAGGGCTCAGCAGGGCTGCAGCAGAAGCCAGGATGAGGCTGGGATGGGCACGCTGCCTGTTTCCATCCTCCATCCATGCAAGGCAGTGGAGATGAGCTGGAAAAAGGGGATTTGCTGCACGGCATCTGGGTGGGCGCAGGGGAACAGGGTGGGGATGAGGCTCCCTCTGAGCATGGCAGGCACTGGGGCTGGGGGCAGAGTGCTGCTTTCCAGTGCTGGGAGGGAGGGGGCCAGCCCCACCATGCTCTGCAAGGAAGAGTGAGCGGCACCCCTGGACAGAGCCCTGCACCCGGGCAGCCCTCGCCGCACAGGGGTCAGGCAGAGCAGAGGGGTCCGGAGGGTGGGTGGGCACTGCCAGAGCCACAGAGCCCCCTCCCACGGGCGTCATCTCTTGACCTCAGTGGTGTCGGTGTCCGGCAGCCCGGCGGCAGGCTGAGGGCTGGGCTGCACTGCCTGCACCGTTTCCTCCAGGCTGCCACTGGGGAACACCACGTAGCGGGCGCTGACACGCTGTGGTCGTGGCTCCCGTAGGTTCTCCTTGCTGTGCCAGATGCCGTAGCCAAAGTAGACGAGCAGGCCTGGAGTGAGGGAGAGGGAGGTCAGCACGTCCACCCAGCCCTGGCACAGAGGTCCTGGCTCAGCCTTGCCATCAGGTCCCAGGACCTGCAGCAGGTGCTTTCCTCTTGCCAGAATAAATGGTTTCTGGGTACCGGGAGCACTCACCAAGGATGAGCCAAATGGCAAAGCGGAGCCACGTCATGTAGCTGAGCTTCAGCATGAGATAGATGTTGAGGACAATGCTCAGTGCTGGGGACAGGGGAACCAGGGGGATCTGCAAGAGATGGAGTTAGAGGTGAGGGGCTGCCAGCTGTGCCCCAGGACTGCCTCCTATCAACCACACCTGCACCCCAGGTGATGCTGCTGACACAAATACCCCATGCCAGTCATAGAATCACAGCATAATTGGGTTGGGAGAGACCTTGCAGCCCCCCCAGCTCCAAACCCTGCCCTGGGCTGGTTGCCCCCATCCGCTCAGGTTGCCCAGGGCTCCATCCATGGCCTGGAGCAGCGCTGGGGATGGAGTACCCACAGCTCTCTGGGCAGCCTGGGCCAGAGCCTCAATACCCTCAGGTATAAGGAATATAATATAAGGAATTTGCCCCTAACAACTTCCCCCTAACATCAGCATGGGACCCACCTGGAAGGTCTGGGTGCTACGCTGCTGCTCATGTGCCCAGATGAGGAGGAGGCTGAGCACGAAGCCCAGGCTGAAGAGGACGAGCAGCAGAGAGTAGCTCCAGGTGGGCAGGTGAAGGTGGGTGTTGCCAAACACCAAGATTGAGCAAAGGCAGACAGCAGACACCATCAGGGTCACCACAGCTACCGTGACCACCTCGCCCGGGTAGAAGTCACTGAGAAACTCCAGGTAGGGCTCGAAGGCTGCCTTCAGCTGCCCTGGCTCGCGGTGCTCCTTGCTCTTGTCACTCCCCACCAGCTGCAGCTTGTCGGAGAAGGACTCGTACTCCTTCAGCTCGGGGGCAGCGATGCCCTCACGCTGCTCAGGGTTGGGCTGGCTGCCCGCCTGCTGCGCGGGGCCGTCCGCCTTCTGCTGCTGGAAGCGCAGCACGATGATGCTGGCGGCCACGAAGGTGTAGGCCAGCAGCGTGCCGATGGACAGGAACTGCACCAGAGCCTCCAGGTCGAAGACGAGGGCCAACAGGGCCATGAGCAGCCCAAAGACCACGATGCCGATGACGGGCACCTGCGTGCGCGGGTGCACCCGGGAGAACACCTGGAAGAAGAGCCCGTCCTCGGCCATGGCGTAGACGATGCGCGGCAGGGAGAAGAGGTTGCTCAGCAGGACCGTGTTCATCGCTGAGGGGTGGGCAGAGAAAAGGGCCCCACGTGAGAGTGGGCCCCAACCAAACCGGCACCCGACCCCGCGCTCTCCCACCTCCTCCCACAAATCCACACTCACCGCAGATGGAGCCGGCAGCCACCAGGAATCCTGCCCAGGCATAGCCCCTCCTGTAGAAAGCGTCAGCCAGGGCAGAGTCGGGATCCAGCGTGTGCCAGGGCACCATCAGCGTCAGCACCACGGACACGAGGATGTAGGCACCGGTGGCCAACCCCAACGAGAATGCAATGGCCCTGGGGACGGCCTTCTGCGGGTTCCTGGCTTCTTCGCTGGAGGCTGCGATGACATCGAAGCCCACAAAGGCGTAGAAGCAGGTGGCTGTGCCAGCCATGATGCCTGACAGCCCATAGGGGGCAAAGCCCCCCTCCTGGGCACTCCAGTTCTTGGGCTGCGCAAGAACGAAGCCCATGATGAGAATGAAGAGGATGACGCCCATGCTGATGGCCGAGAAGACGTGGTTGAGCCAGGAGGACACTTTGGCCCCAAAGGAGATGAAGGCGGTGGCCACCAGCAAGATGGCAGCCGCCAGGAAGTCAGGATAATGGGCCAGGAAGGGCACCTGCCAGGTGCCAACGTGGGTCTCGGTGAAGTTCTTAATTTTGTGGTTGAAGATGGAGTCCAGGTAACCGCTCCAGGCCCTGGCCACTGCTGCGCCCCCGATCATGTACTCCAACAGCACGTTCCAGCCGATGAGAAAAGCCCAAATCTCACCCACGGACACGTAGGTGAACATGTAGGCAGAACCCGTCTTGGGCACCCGGGCCCCAAACTCAGCGTAGCAGAGAGCAGCCAGGAGGGAGGCGAAGCCAGCAATGATGAAGGAGACGATGACGGCGGGGCCGGCGATCTCCTTGGCCACGGTGCCCGTGAGGACATAAAGCCCAGAGCCCACCATGCCCCCGATGCCCAGCAGCG